CCTGCAACTTGATCCCTGCACGTTTAAACCCGTAATCTCCTCCCCCTCACACACATGCAAATACATATCTATATCTATATATATATATATATATATATATATTGTGTACATACATACATACCTCTCAATGCATTATAACGCATTGGTCGGCACATTGCAAAATTTCGCCGGTGTTGTGTGCGAATCCCCTCCAAACTTCGTCGGTATTTTGCAAAAATTCGTGGGCATTGTAGACCGGATATGCTGGCTCGCCCGCAATACCGACGAATCGACGAAATTGGGGATGGGCAACGTGCCGGCCTTGATTCAGAATTTGGGGCGGGGTCTGGAAGACGACGTGAGCTGCCGATTCCTTAGCCCGGCGGTTCTTGAACCCCCAAACCCAAAAACCTCAACCCGAAAGGCCACTATCTCAAAAGCCCTTAATAGACGCCCTTAAAGAATCAGTGCCTTGTTTAAACCCTTCAGGAACCCTGACAGAAATCCTGAATCCCAGTACAACTTTCGAAGTTGCAGCGGCCGAGGTCGAGACGGAATGTGACGGAGGCACGGCTCTATAGAATCTGTTGGGTTTCTCGGCTCTCCAAGAGCCTAAGCGTCCCAAGCCTTTGTGGGAGTTGGGACTTCGACGAATTCAGTTGGCGTCATAAGTCTGTTGTGTTATTTGGGGTCTGAGGTGTTTGGGGCTTCATATTTTGGTTGGGCTCAGGGTTGGGGTTTTATTTTCGGGGCTTTGGGGTCCAGGGTTTAGGCTTTAGGACTTGGGTTTTGGGTTTTACGGTTTAGCTTTGCGCTGTTTTTTGAGGGGCAAAGGTTTCTGACTCACTGTGATTATTCGTAGCTTTGTCGCGCGCTATGTTCGTGTTGAAGGTTACTGCTGAGGTGATCATGATTGATTCTTGTGATATTGGTCACACTATGATGCTTGTAATGTTGGAGCATCTCAGAACAGGCCCAGTAGTTTCCAGCAAAAGGTAGTAATAATTCGGAACGCGACTCCTTCTTTCCCTTTGGCTTCTTGCTGTTGCTTCGGCTGTGTTTAGTGTCGTCACGATGTGGCAACTGTTTTTGTTGTTTGATTCTGCTGGTGCCGGGTCCCGGCTGTGACGGCGGTGGAGGTGACCGTTCTATCACCGGCTTCCAACCATGAACCCGGCCCTAAACAAACCTGGGCCTGGGAGACCCTAAACCCTAAACCCTACTTGAAGGCTCATGGGACTTAGTAAGTAAGGTTATAAGTAGGTTATAATTAGGATAACCCCACTTAGGGGACTTATAACCCCCATTATAACCTACTTACTAAGTCCCATGATCCTCTAAGTAGAATGCCGAAGAAGGTGACCTCGAGGGCATCCACTACGAGCATCCCATCAGCGGCAAGGCCACTCCCTTGGCAGCTGCCCTGGAAAAGGTCGGAGTGTCATACAGGGACTTTAATAACTACCAATAGTTTTTCGGGGATAACTTTAGTATAACAGCCTATAGCATGGGTTTCTACAAGGGCCCTTTCAGGGTTTAGGATGTGTTTACATGACAAGGTTGCTGAAAGGTTAAAGGTTTAGTTCATTGTTCGATCGTTTTCCATGAAAGGGTTTGTACACCGTTTGGGTTTAGGGTTTGTAGAATCGGGTTTGGGGAATGATGCCATGGCTTTGGTACGGGTTTGGGTAAGCAGGGTCTTTCCGGCTTACCCCGAAACCCAAAACTCCGATGTAGGGGTCCCGACAAATTCTCCTCCTACCTATAGGGCCCCTTTATACCCTAATATAGTACCCTAAAAAGTAGGATCCTTATTATAAGGACCCCAAAATAAGGTACCCCTAATTTTCGGAAACTCCCTAAACCCTAAACCCTTTATCGAACCCTTATAGATCCCTTTAAGGGACCCCAAAATAAGGTTCGTTAAGCACCACGAAGCCAGAGCCCCAAAAGAGCGCTAAGGGGCACGTTTTTCAAGCTTTTGACTAGAGTTCCGTTTGTCAACTTCCTACCAAACTGTTTACAAGGTTTTTGCGTAGAGCTTAGGGTCATGTTGAGGACTTCCAGATGTCGCCAAACGCTGCAAAAGCCTTAAGATAGAAGCTTGAACAAATATCCATATCATTCCTTACGGTTGTACATACCCCAAAAGCTGATTCTAAATTTTCATTCTTAAGGCCCCTACGTTCTCTTATACCTCAAAACCTCCACGGCTGAAGCCCCGAAAACCTGCATGCGATCCTGGCTACTTAAGGTTTAGGGATTAGGGTATAGTGTAGGGTTTACCTATAAGTCTCCATTGTAGTTCCTTTTTTGGGTTACCTTATAGGATCCTAACTCTAAGATTGTTTAACCGAAAAAAGGTGCTTTTCTAATGATGAAGACCCCTATACTACTTGGAGGTTCATTGGTAGTCATAAGTGGGATCATGTGTCCCCTTATCGCAATTACACTTATACATTTTTCCCGCACGGCGGGTTGGGGGGAGGGGGGGGGGGGCGGAATTTAAAGTCGTCCGCGCCGCTCGAACGCGCGCGCCACTTGCCACTCACGCCACTCGCGCTGCAGCTAGGCAATAGGAACGAGTGGAACAGGTGGCACAGGGCGAGTGGAGCGAGTGGAACGGTCGGAGCGAATGGAGCGAGTGGAACTTGTCGAACATTGCGGAACAGACGGATCACCCCCCAAAAACAACTTATACAACTACCCTAAACCCTCAACCCTAGGGAACCCTATATCGGAACCCTCAACCCAAATGACCCCACCTTTAACTACCCACGAACCTCCAAGTATGCCAGCTGAGGTCATGGGAGGCGCGCGGAGCCGCCACGGGGCGTCTTGTGGTTTGGGGTTTAGGGGTTTGGGGTTTGAGGTTGGGGGTTTTAGTTTGGGCGTTTGGGGAAATGGACTGCGCAAACCCTGAACCTTAAACCCGAGACCCTGAACCGGGCACTTGTGCATGTTGGGATTTGTGTTTGCTGATATCAGGTGTCGGGGGTTCTAGAGATGGGAATGTGAGAGATTTCTGTGGTTGGATCAGTTTTCCGTTCAGCGAGGAGCTCTGGATGTTGGCTTGTCCAGTCCTGATCAAGCTAGGGACCTCAGAACCACATAAGCATAAGCATTTTATAGGGATATCCCTACCTTGTTGGGCTCCATTATAAGGGGGTTTATATGGGACATCCCTACACTAATTTTTGCTTATGTGGTCTTTTTGGGTCCTATCAAAGCTCGTCTATAGTTCAGGATATTGCGTGCAAAGCTCTTCGCAACCTCCGTACCCCGCCGACGCCGTAAACGCCCTGAACGCCTTCAGCCGAAGGCGACTACATCACAACTGAGTCGGGAACCGGGCTGGCCCCTACCTCAGTCTACTTGGAGGTTCTGGGTAGTTATAAGTAGGGTTATAAGTCCCCTAACAGGGCATATAACTATAGAGACCTTCCTTATAATCCTGCTTATAACTACCAAGTAATAGTCTGGAGGGAGGTTCAGGCTTGTTGGATTGAAGGGTTTCAGGTTGAGGGTCTAGGGGTGGGTTTTCGGGAGTCGACGAGGCTCAACATCGCGCGTATCAGGGCTTCTGTTTGAGTATATACCGGCTTACACGGCCGTTGAACATGTTTGTATTGCATTTCATTCCGTTTCGTATTGTGCTATAGTATTAGGGAGACCCCATAGCGCGGACTCTTCTTGACCTTACTTCTGGCTCTCTTGAAAGAGACCTTATTGAGAGGGTCTATATCCCCAAGGGGCCCCCTAATCCAAAACCCTACACTCTAGCCCTAGACCCCTAAACCCTAAACCCGAAACCCTAAACCGGAAACCTTAAACCGGAAACCCATTTTCCCAAGGGTCCCCCAATCCTAACTCCTACCCAGACCCCCAGGAGGATCCAAGAAGTAGATCCCCTAATGGGGGTTCCTATAATATAGGCCCCAAAGCGGGGGATCAACTTTCTAGATCCTCCCAGGGGTCTGGGTATTTGATACGGCTCAGGGGGGGCGACCTTCTGGTTCATGGTTGAGAGCTTAAGAGTTAATTATTAGAAGAGGGTTCCCTTAAAGAAGAGGGTTCCTTCAAAAGGGGCCTATGGGGGATCTATAGTAGGGTTCTATGGTATAGGGGCCTCAATAGTTACCTATACGATTTTTGGGGGTTTTGATTATGGTTATAGTATAATCTACCCCCAAACCCTAGTCTAATTATGAAGGCCTCTATGTTAGGCCAGGGGCCTGAGGAAGTGAGTGGTTTTGTCAGGATGCTACGGCCCCTAAACCCTGAACCCTAGCTTAACCTAGTTTGACCCTAAACCTCAAATGGTATGCCCATGATCCCTGCAACGCCTGTGCAGAGTTTGTAAGCCAATCCCAAGAGTAAGTCCCCAACTCTAGGAGCATAAACGTCAAGAGCCTCTGAAGCTTGCAAGTCTTGCTTTTTCCAACTCCTGAAAAACCCTAAACCCTAAACCCGATGTTAAAGCCTCTCCACCTACATCCGAAGCCTAAGCCGGCACCCCGGCGATGGTGAGCCGAATTGCCCAGGTGCTTCGAGCCAACCCGCAAGCCCAAGATCTGATATCCTGGGTTCTTGTTAACAGGGATTAGGGTTAGTCGAGAACTCATTCTAAGTTACCAGAAGGCGTATTATGGATGAGGGCTAGTAAAGAACTCATTGTCAGTTGCCATAACGCGTATTATGGATTAGGGTTAGTAAAGAACTCATTTTAAGTTACCATAAGGCGTATTATGGATTAGGGTTAGTAAAGAACTCATTTTAAGTCACTATAGCGCGTAATATGGTAACTGGAATGATGTTGCTTAACAGCAAGAACAACCTCAGCTAAGACTCCACACCCCGAACCTCCGACCCTAAACCCCCGAACCCCGAAACCCCAAACCCTCGAACCCCATTCCGCAGCCCCTACTCTTGAACCTTCGCTGTTCGGCGTGCCGTGCTCTGCAGCGACCGTCTGTAGTTACATCGTGCTCATCTCCCATCTTCCTCTCCGAGTCATCGCAATGGCTCCCAACGCAGCAGCTGCTAAGGCGCCAGCGCGATGTGTAGGGTTCAGGGAAGCTATGGAGGGAGGGAGGGAGGGACCCCTGTAATTACATTGGTTTGGAATCCACTCTCTAAGAGCAGGGGAGTTGGCGGAGGTGTACAGTTCTCCCTAATTTGGACTATCTCCCTAGTGGTAAACTCTCAGAGTGACTTCAGTCGGACCCTAACCCGAAAACCTGAAACCCCACTTTGTCATTTGTCTTAAGTTACCATAACAGGGATCTATAGTACATAGAATGGTTTCTCTGATCGAGCCTGTGTGAGCGCGGTGGGTGGGTGGGTGGGTGGATGGGTGCGTGGGTGAAGGGCTTGGTGGTTGGAAAGGGTGGGTGCAGGAAGTTGGGGGCAGGGAGGGGGGTGGGGGCCCACAAAATATATAGAGTTTTTCAAGAACGGCCAATGTGCATTTGGCAATTTGCGCCATGGCATCTTTAGAGGCGCTGAAATAGGTGGCCGTTTGTTGAGGTGCAAACGGGCGTTCTCCAGCCGGCTCAATGCTTAGCGGATGTGACTGAACCCTTTCTCCCAGCCCCGCTGACGAGCAACCGATTCCGAGTCATCGCGCGCAAATGTGCTGCTCACCTGGTCGTGAACTTCTGGCAGCTGGGATCTCGGGAGCTGTTCGGCCACTTGCACGGAAACAATGTAGGATCGTCGGCTTTGCAAAATTTGTGCTGTCTTAGGCTTTGTGGTCACTGTTAGCTGAAAGGTGCGTGCTGGAGTGCCCGAAGCGGTTTCTCCCGTGTTTGGAGTGGATGGTAGCAGTGGAATATGGATTCGCAATCTTGCAGCACCCCAGAGCTGGAGACAGCAGGACACGGGTCGTGCCGGCGCCTATCTCAGAGTTACGTGGAAACACTGTCGAGTTGCAAAGCAAATGATGCCAAGGCGATGGCCGCGTTGCCATACAGAGAAAGCTTTGAGGTGGAGGCTGTGGCAGAAAGTGGAGAAAAGGTAGGGAAAACGTGTGATGGCGTGTGCTCACAGTCGCCCGACGGGCTGACGCTTGTATAGTAATGTTGATGTCAAGATTCGAAAGCTCAAATAGCCGTGGAGGCGAAAGAGTAGCGCAAAGGTTTTCCGTGTGTATTCGTGAGTTTTGGGGGGCAACATGGCTAGGTCCCACGCGGAGAGCCCGGCACCTATCAGGAGGAGACCGGCAAAATAAAAGCCGTGGAGAGGGAGGCGGCGGCCTGAGTCGACAGCCCGGTACACGCGGAAGGCGGAGACCAGGTAAGAGAGGACACAAAACTTGCGGAGGAGGAGATGAAGGCCAAGGAGTTGGCGGAGAAGGAGAAGGAGGTAAGGGTGTTGGCAGATTCTATCAAGGACGGGTTGCCAGTTGGTAAGATGAGAGGGCTGTTGCACAGCTCGTAGGGGAAATCCAGCGGAGCAGTGTGGCGAACCAATGGATGCGCTTCATGCAGGAGTTCGAAACGGAGGGCAATTTTGCGTGGTCTCATCCAGTTCCCGCTCGGCTTCAAATATTTTGAGCCGAGGGGATATGTGAACTTGGCAGATCGCAGTGGTGCATGCGCAGCAGTCCTTTCCCCGGGCCAAGGGGAGGCTTATGATCACGCACGAATTCAAAGCCTTCGACCAAGGGAAAGCGGCCGACTTCAAGGGCCTTTTGCGTGTCTCACCTTGCTTCAATTCTCGAGGCCTGGATGCTAGCCCTGTAGCATCGTGTATGTAGCTGCCCTTCAAAGGAATCCTTAAGGAACGTTATTGTAAGCATCAGCCCTTTACAGGAATCCTACAAACGAACTTTAACTCTAAACCCCAAATCCCCCAAAAATACCCAAACACCAAAACCCCAAAGCCGAAAACCCGAATTTATACCCCAACGGTGGCCGACCCGTCAGGTGGTGGGGCAGGTGGCCACCGACATGGAGTTGGAGGTGAGCTCTGGAGGCGCTCCGGTTTCGGGATCAGGGCTTAAAGGGAACTCCAGAAAGTTGGAATATGGTTTCAGGGTAGGATACCTTATAATTTACCATAAAGGGTTTAGGGTAATCATATTCCAACTTTCTGGCTTTGACTGTAGGGCCTCAGGGTTTCGAGTTTAGAATCGGCCCCCAAAACCCTATTCGAACTATTACGGCCCCTCTATTACAGAACTCTACCATAGGTCCCGTTTTTAAACGCAGAAACCCTTATAGACCTCGGGTTTGGTTTCGGGTCTTGGGATGAGGGTTGCTCTGAAGAGCTCCAGGGGCTGGTCCAAGGGTAAAAAGGAGGGACCCTTAATGGTATATACCCTTAATATCGCCATTAGGTAGCCCATTATATAGCCCATTGTGGGGTAGGGGTCCCCATTAAGGGTCCCTCCTTTTCCCCTTTGAGCTGGGGGTTTGCGCGGTTTTGTGTCATTTTGCGGCCCAGGTCTGCCTAATGGCTCCTAACAGTGGTGTTTCGGGTTCATGGTAGGTTATGGCAAAGTCTGGCATGGTGCCTTGTATCATTTTCTCAGATATAATCTCAAGCCCGTATACTTTTCACTTAAGGCCCCTGCATGAGGCCCTACCTATACCACACGTAACCTACCCTTTTAAGGACTTATATAAAGAAATCATATTAGGGAACCCTAAAAAGGTAGGTTCCGTAGGGTCCAGGTAGAGCTTGTTGAGGATGTCGGACTTGAGAGAGCCCAATACCCTTTAATTAAGGAATATGGCTTAAATCATAATATTAAAATTAAGGCCTCTATAATTTAAGGTATATTCCTTAATTAAGGGGTATTGGGCTCTCTGGGGAGGGCCTGATGGTTCGGGACGACCAAGGGAGAAACTGTGAGGCCTCAACTTGACAACTCCCCAGAGAGCCCAAAACCCCTTAATTAAGGAATATAGCTTAGATTCTAGAGGCCTTAATATCATGATTTAAGGTATATACCTTAAATTATAGAGGCCTTGATATTATGATTTAAGGTATATTCCTTAATTAAGGGGTATTGGGATCTCTGGGTCCGCACATTACATGCATGCATTGACACACAAACATGTTTACTCACTAACAGGTCAAAAAGAACCTAAGCAGATGGATGCATCATCGGAAAGCAAACAAGTATATGTGAGTGAGTGAGGACTGACTGATTGATTGATTGACTGACTGACTGAAGGAGGGAAGGAAGGAAGGAAGGAAGGAAGGAAGGAAGGAATAAAGGAATGAAGGAATGAAGGAATGAAGGAATGAAGGGATGAAGGAATGAAGGAATAAATGAATGAAGGAATGAAGGGATGGAATGGACATGGAGCATGGGACGGGATGGGATGGAGCGAAAAGACATGAAACGAATGAGTAGCATCAACAGGAAAGCAGGTAAACAAATAGAAACAAAGGGTTAAGTACTTAACATGTTAAGAGAAACCAACAAGTTCCTACATAAATGAACGACCACATGAATACATAACCAATAAATGCACAGAAACTTGTATACATATATATATATATATATATGTGCATATCTACCTGTACATCCTCATGTCCCACATCATGCTTGGTACCCTAAACCCTAAACCCTAACCTTCCCAAGCAGGAAAGACCTCGACCGTGCAGCTCCTCTCCTTGCGCGAGCCTGGCCAGGCGAAAGCTCGGGCGAAGCGACGTCAGACAGCGCTCTTATTTAGGGTTCAGGGTTTAGGGTTTGGGGTTTAGGGTTTAGGGTTTAAGGTTTAGGGTTTAGGGTTTAGGGCTTAAGGTTCAGGGTTTAGGGTTTGCTAAGCGTTGTCTCGCGGTTCCACAAGGTTTGTTAATTCAGGGCTCTGTTCCGGCATTCGGGGTTGAGAAGTTTAGGGTTTGAGGGTTCCGGGAACATCGTCGAGCTCGCAAAAGGCCGTTGAGGTTTAGGGTTTTGGGCTGGACATCCCACAACCCGACGTGACGGCTCGAAACTAGTCCTGAACCCGAAAACTGCGGAAGCCCCACCTGATCTGTCCTTTATGGACACGGACACTAAAATTCCGATATGTTTGGGGATTTTACGCCTGAGCAGGCGTTGGTGGTGGACTTCTTCGCGCCCTGGTGCAAGGCTGGGGCATCACTCGCTTCTTGCTACCCCGGAGTTAAAGTGCGCGATGTGACTTTCTGTTTCTGACATTGCCGGAGTCTGTTTTTGATTTCTACAGGTATTGATGGGCTTTCCAGCGAGCCCAAGCCCCAAATAGGGTTTAGGGTTTAGGGTTTAGGGTCTAAACACTAAACCCCAGCCATCGGTTTTGCACAGCTCCCAAGCCATGACCTTACTACTGACTTTTGACCCAAAGGCATCGAATGCTGTTCCGTAGGTTTCCATTTTATGAGTATCCTGCAATTTTACCCAGACCCTATTCTTAAACCCAAAACCCCAAAGCCCTAAACCTTGAACCCACACCCCAAAACCTTAAGTCCTAAACAAAGTCAAGAAAGGCCTGCCCTGCAGCCGCCAAGAAGCTCGAGGATCGGACCTTGCTTGGACAGGGGTTGGCTTTAGGGTTCAGGTTTTGGGGGTTAGGGGTTTGGGGGTTTAAGAGTTTAGGGGTTTAAGAGTTTAGGGGTTTAGGGTTCAGGGGTTTAGGGTTCAGGTTTTAGGGGTTAGGGGTTTTGGGGTCAGGGGTTTGGGGTTTAGGGCGTAGCCGAACTAGTTGTATCGAGGCTCTCGGGATCCTGCAAAGGGCGTTCACAAGACCTGCATTTCTTGAGCACGGTTCTATAGGGGCCTAAATAATTACCAATCCTATTTTGGCGGCTCCTTATTATACTTAAATAAAGCATATTGGCCCCCGAAACCCTATTCTAATCATTAAGGCCTCTGTATTATGGTTTCTGCTACGCATGGAGCTTTAGGGAACTAGGGTGTTGGTAGTTGGGGTTCAGGTATGCATTTGTTTGATGGACGAAATCCTGCATGACCCTAAGGACTCTAAACTATGGGAACTATGGTATATTCCTGAAACAGAGTAATGCAGGATTTTGTCCATCAACAGTACCACTACGTTGAACCCTGTTACTGGCAGGCAGGCGGCTCCGCGGTAAACCTTGGCCGTGGCCCTCTCTACTTTCCTCCTCGACTGTCGCAGTCGTCGCAGAACAAGTCCACGGGCAGCCCGCAAACCTTAAGTCCTGAACCTGCAACCCTAAACCCTAAACCCTAAACCCCTAAACCCTAAACCCCTAAACCCCTAAACCCTAAACTCCTGAGCCCTAAACCCTAAACCCTAAACCCCTAAACCCTAACCCCCTAAACCCCTAAACCCTAAACCCTAAACCCCTGAGCCCTAAACCCCTGAGCCCTAAACCCCAAACTACTAAACCGAGTATTCCCACTTCACCAACCCTCAGCCGCAGGCTTCCGAAAGCGCCCCTCCAAGACTGATGGCCTGCCTGAACAGGTGGTTCTGGTGGTGGTGGTAGTAGTAGTAGTTGTAGGAGTTGTTGTAGTAGCAGTAGCAGCGGTAGCAGCAGGAGGAGGATGAGCAGAGTAGCTGCTGTAGTACCACCCACCCCCCCACCCTGCCACCCCCCACCCCCCCTACCCCAGCCCCCCCCCCTACCCCACCCCACCCCCCCCCAAAAAAGACAACCCCCCCCCCCCACACCTTGTTGTTGTTGTTGTTGCTGCTGCTGCCTTCGACTCTTCAGTGTCTGTGTATCTTTTCCTTTTAACCACATATGGGGGTTTCCGAAAAGTCGAGGTACCGTATTTTGGGGCCCTTATAATAAGGATCCTACTATTTGGGGTACTATATTAGGGTCCCCTATTTTCGGAAACTCCCATATTCTACTCGTGTACCTTCACCCCTTAGCAAACCCTTCATGTACCCTTGCCAGAGGAGCTGGCAGAGAGCTACAACGACCGCTGCAAGTTCGTGCTGGTCTGCGTGGATGGCGGCGCAGACGAGGTGGGCCTCGGGCCGATGGGATGCCGGGAAATACGGTTCTGGGTTCTTGGGCAGGGCAGGGCAGGGTAGGGTCGGGTTGGGTAGGGTTGGGTGGGGTTGGGCTGGGTTGGGTAGGGTTGGGTTGGGTTGGGTAGGGTTGGGATATTTGGGAGTTTCCGAAAACAGGGGACCCTAATAGAGTACCCTAAATAGTAGGATCCCTATTCTTAGGACCCCGCAAAGGTACCCCTAATTTTCGGAAACTCCCATGTAAGTTCAAACCATAGTAAGGAAACCATATTATTTAGTATAGATCTCTATTATGGTAACTTCAATTAAATCCTTTAACAAGAACCCAGGGTTGAGAGGCAAGACCAAGAGGGAACCCTCCAAGAGGCATTCTAAATCCTTTGGGTCCCTAACAAGAGATTGCAGTACATCTAATGCATATGCAAAATCCTGGAAGAAACCTTGCTAAACCCTACACCCACCGTTTAGAAAATCTGGGTGCTGGGCCAGCCTGGTCAAGCAAAGCAATTCGTCGTTGACTCAGTCAGTGATTCATCAATCCGTCGTTCTTTCATCAGAGTAACATATGTAAAGCAGAGTAGTTAACCTTTACGTTTTTTGGGTATTCCATAATCCCTATGTTATGTCATAATTTTCATGTAGGATTTAGTTTAAGAAATACGGGAGTCGGAAGAATTCAGTGCTTGTATTTCCACCCCTATATACTTACAGCTCAGGGTTTACATAGCTCTCGTATGCTAAACCCTTAACCCTAAACCCTAAACCCCAGGACCTCGAAGCTTTAAAAGTCAGGCTACGGTTGTTTTGACGGAGTCTTCATCTGGGTGGTTGTCAAAATTAGGGTCCCTTGTTCCTTAAATACTAGGTGCCGTACTATATAAGGGACCCAAAAAGGGACCATAATTTTGACAACCACCCATCTAGTGAGTAGTACCCTTTGGCCCCTTTTCGTTTAGGGTCCCCTCATTAAAGCCGAATAGTAAGCAAAAGGGTACTCTTATTATACTGGGGCTACTCAGGAATCGAATCTAGTCATTGCAAGGGAACGCACTTTCATCTAGTCTAACACACGACGTCCAAGGTTCGCCGCCCGAGTCTCTGGCACATTCGTGCATGATTGTCGAAGTTTTAAGCTTCGTTGTTCTACTGTTGATGATATAAATCCTGCATTACCCATAATAAGGAATATACCATAGTTCTCATAGTTTAGGATCATTAAGGTAATGCAAGATTTATATCATCAACAGTAGTATGGCCTATAGCGAATTCCAGGTATCAACAGCTACAACCATAAGCTCCAGATCCTGGTCTTTTCCAGCATATTGAGTGCACAGGCTATGGGAATGCATTCTTCCTTGATAGTGTTGTGATTCATCGGTCGAACATCATACTCTAAGGCAACATGAGCATAGTAGCACAAGCAAAAGCAACAGAACATAGCTGTAATAATTACAGAACGAAGTCTTTGGTAGCAAGAGCCGGGATCCACCCCCCGAATGAGGCTCGGGCCTTTGCGGAGGAACATGGCCCCTCAGACATCTTGAGCTGTTGAGGGTTTGGTGTCGAGTGTAACACCAAGGGCCCGGGTAAGCTAGAATGGAACACTCGGGTATGCTATGGGGGCTATGAGGGGATAGTAGTACTGATTATTTGGCACTACCTAGGAGCAATATCCCACTACCGTCGTTGATATGACTCAAGCACAGTATACCCGAAACCCCTATTCCAATTTTCAATTCCCCTACCTTGAGGTGCAGGACGTGGGGCCTAAAGCCCCACAGCCTTCAGCACCAGACATAAACCCTCAACCTGAACCTTAAAACCCAAAGCCCCTCAAGCCCTCAAGCCCTAAACCCCCTAACCCCTCAACCCCTCAACCCCTCAACCCCTAAACCCCTAAAGCCCTAAACCCTATATAGATCCCTTATGGATCCCTTTAAAGGAACCCCCATAGATCCCTTTAAGGAGCCTCAAGAAACCCTGAAACCCTGAGCCCCAAAGCCTTCAATGCCAAGCACGAACTCGTGGCCCAGAGCTTCGGGGCCTTGAGCGCGGAACCCTACTTGAAGGCTCATGGGACTTAGTAAGTAAGGTTATAAGTAGGTTATAGTTAGGATAACCTCACTTAGGGGACTTATAACCCCCATTATAACCTACTTACTAAGTCCCATGATCCCCTAAGTAACACGCCAAGAGCTTCGGGAGGACTTGGGGGCGTAGGGCTTTGAGGTCTGGAGTTTAGGGGTTGGGGGTTTAGAGTTTAGGGGTTTAGGGTTTAGGGTTTAGAGTTTAGGGTTTAGGGTTGGGGGGTTTAGGGTTTAGGGGTCCAGGGTTCGGGGGTTGAGGGTTTAGAGTTTAGGGGTTTAGGCTTTGAGGCGGCTGAGCGGGTTTAGGCTCTAGAGTGTCATGTTTAGGGTTTAGGGCACAGACCCCGCTCGGCTCCTCTAGGATAGGTTCTTATGGTATATATGATAAAACCTAAACCCTAAACCCTACAACCCAAACACTAAACCCTAAACGCTAAACCCTAAACCCTGAACCCCAAACACTAAACCCTAAACGCTGAGCCCTAAACCCGAAACCTTCGGCTGTTTGACCTGCAGGCCCCAAACCTTGAACCCCTAAGGCATCCGGCGGTGCGTGGCTGCTTCCGTGGTAGACGAGGATGCGCCGCAGGCGGGTGATCAAGGCTCTAAAAGGGTTTTTTATAGGTTGTCTAGAAGGGGGTTCCAGGGGGGTTCCATAAGGTTCCTCTCAGGCTTCCTGTCAGGTCCTGAAGGTGATTTGGGGTTTTGGGTTCTGAACTCCCATGCTAAGCCGCAAGCCTCAGGAATCCGAAGTCCTAGGCCTCAAGCCAAAACAAGCTTTACTAGTTCATGGTTGGGATAGTACTAAACATCTACATCTTTATTCCTTATTGAATTTTAATACTCATAAAAATGTCAAATGCTACCCAACTACAGGGTTAAGCCTCAAGCAGCCACCGAGTCGAGACAAGAGTTCGGCTTGCGCCCTAAGCCTTCAGCCCGCGGCCTTAAATCCCAACCGAAACGGGCAACCCCAGACCCTAACCGCAAGACCCAAAGCCCCTTAGACCCGAAACCCTAAACCCTCCTATCACTAAACCCCAAGCCCCGAAGATACCCTAAACCCTAAACCCAAAGCCCCTTAAACCCGAAACCCTAAACCCTCCTAACCCTAAATTCCAAACCCTCAAATCCAACAGGACTACGGCGTCTCTGGTTTGCCTCACCACACCGTGATCGGACCGGACGGCAAGGCCAGGCGCTTTGCTAACACCCTAAACATCAAGCAGCATTAGGGTGCCTTTTTGGGTCCCTGTTATAGTACGGCACCTACTATTTAGGGTACCCAAAAAGGGACCATAATTTTGACAACCACCCGTATATACCCGAAAGACTGCACAACTGTATGACTCGAACGCATAGTAAGCTCTTCGAAAGGCACTCAAGCTTACACCGCGACACAGGTCATAAAACATAGACATCCGATCTTGTGATCTTGAGCCTCCACCCCTGCAGACTCAGGCAGGTTTGGGGTGTAGAATTTTGGGAGTTGAACATCAGTGTTTAGTGTTTGGGGCTGTTTGGGTTTTGTCTGGATCAGGGTGGCGGTTGACCTGACCCTACGCCTCTCGAACTCCTTCGCCGAGACCCAAACTCATCATTTCATTCATTACGCCTTGAAGTTGTCGCTGGTGGCCGACAGAACTGTCGCAACGGGGGTTTGGTAGGGTTAGCGCACTCCGGATAATGACCCGAAAATCCCAATGCATACCGGATACAACAAACCCCGAACCCTAAACCCTATGCGTACTGGATACCTTGAAGCCTAGAACCCCAAACAATAAGCCCAACCTCGAACCCCCGGGCCCCAAAACCCCTAAACCCTGAACCCACTGCATACGGGATGCCCTGCACCCTAAACCCGAGGCACACCGGACACCTCAGAAGCCTGGACTTGAAGCCCCAAGCCCAAGCCCTATACCCTAAACCCGAAACCGCTGGCACAGAAGACCTCGAAAGCCGACGCCCTGAACGGTCTTGCTTCCAAGCAGGTCTTCAGGAACTACGAGGTCGACTTGCCCAAGGATCTCGAGTCGCTCTTTTCTACTGGCGAGGCTGGGGCTCTTGAGTTGGGTGCAGAAGTACTGTAGGGGGCTCAATAAATAGAGTAGGGTTTAGCGGTGCATTCTACCGTAGTTACAATAAGGAACCCCCTGAACCTGCTAATCATTGAGGCCCCTACACTACTTAAAGGATCTGGTGCTTGAGTAGATAGGGCTATGAATAAGGTAGTCATAGTAGTGTTGATGGCCTCCGTCTCCAGAGGCTCAAGTTGAAGATCCGCATACATGCCGTGATGCTATCGGTGCGCGTCGAACGAACCGTGATGTTTGCCCTTAAACAACCCTAAACTCAACTTGAGTGGCCCGAGTCGCAAAGCTTTCTGCTATGCTGTGCATCAGGATGCTGTCAGGGGAAGAGGTGGCAAGCATACCTGCAGAGGAGCTTACCGATGTGAAGGCTTTGAAGCAACGACTCAACACTCTGCACGGCATGCCGACGCGATTCAGGCAAAAGCTGCTTCACTCCGGTAGTCCTTTGGCCGAGTCTGTCAAGCTGGACTCCCCTATGGACCTGGAGCTGGTCCTGCTTTCGCATTCTGCCACATCCCAGGCACTGGTGGACCAGCTGATAACTGCCGTGGGGAGCTGCCTCACGTCTGAGGCGCCTGGACCACACAACAAGAACCCTGGACCCTGATCCCTGCAGTCCTTGGCTCCCCTCTTCTCTGGACTCCAAGCCACGGCAGTCGTAAAGGTGCTAAAACAAACACCCTTTAAGTCCCTAAACCCTAAACCCTAAACCCTAAACCCTAAACAGGTTGAGGCCCTGCTGCAACAGCCCCTCGATCCGGACGTTGTCGATGTGCACAGCAGAAGTGCCCTGGTACTCGCATCTCAAAGAGGCCACGTGGAGGTCGTGCTCTTGCTGCTGGAGGCGGGGGCGGACAAGAACTTCCGCACCAATGATGGATTCACTTCCCTGATGGTCGCTTCTCAGGAAGGCCATGTGGAAGTTGTACGTTTGCTCCTGGGTGCCGGTGCCGACAAGAATTTGCGGGAAAATGAAGGCTTCACTGCCCTGATGCTAGCTTGTGATGGTGATCAAGGAGACGTTCGTCCAGAACACACGGGAGTCTTACGTTTGCTGCTTGATGCTGGTGCCGACACAAGCTTCTCGGTCAACGACGGTTTCACTGCCTTGATGATGGTTTGTGACCAAGGCCATGCAGGACATCTCCGCTTACTGTTGGATGCCGGTGCCTACACGAACTTGCAGAGCGATGAGGGTGTTACTGCTCTCATGGTTGCTGCGCTTGCAGGCCGTGTTGAAGTTGTGCGTTTGCTCCTGGAGGCAAATGCCGACAAGGACTTGCAGAACAATGACGCCTTCACTGCACTTATGATGGCTTCTCAGGAAGGCCATGTGGAAGTCGTAAGTTTGTTGCTTGAAGCCGGTTCCGACCCGAGCTTCCTCAGCCCTGCCGGCGTCACTGCTCTGATGCTCGCTTCTCAAGAGTGCCAACTAGAAGTTCTGCATTTGTTGCTTGAGGCCGGTGCCGACAAGGATCTACAGAACCGCGAAGGTATCACTGCCCTGATGGTAGCCTGTTCCTGTGATGAAGGCGACCCGCCCAAAGCCTACACGGAAGTCATGCGTTTGCTACTTGCGGCCGGTGCCGACAAGACCATACGGAACAACGAAGGCTACACTGCCCTAATGATCGCTTGTGGTCAAGGCCGTGACCCTAAACCCTAAGCGGTCCTAAGCCGTAAGCCCGCAACCCCGACACCCCACACCCTAATTAAACCCGAAACTCCGAAAACCCTAAACCCGAAACCCTAAACCCTAAACCCGAAACCCTAAACCCTAAACCGGAAACCCTAAACCCGAAACCCTAAACCCGAAACCTTGCGTTCAAGGCCGTGTGGGACCCGTGCGTGCGCTGTTGGATGCAGGTGCCGACACAGACTGCCCGACCGATGAGGGCTTCAGTGTCCTTGGGCTTTAGGGTTAGGGGTTTAGGGGTTAGGGGTTTAAAGCTTGTAAGTTAGTAAGTTTCGCTTGTCGGGTTGGGTAAATTACATTTATCTGAGAACCATCCTGTTATATTAGGACTAGTAGCATTATTACTGTTTTCATCCTAATGGTCGTTGTTATTATGAGCTGTAGAGTAGATCCTTTTATGGCAACTCAAAATAGCAAGATCCCAGGCTCTCATGATCGCTTCTCAAGAAGACCGAGTGGAAGTTGTGGGTTTGCTACTTGAGGCGGGTGTCGACAAGAACTTACAGAACTACGAAGGCTTCACTGCCCTGACGATAGCTTCTCAGAAAGGCCATGTGGAAATTGTCAGCTTGCTACTGGATGCCGGTGCCAAGAAGAACTTGCAGAGCAATGACGGCTTCACTGCCTTGATGCTCGCTGCTCAAGAAGGCGATGTTGACACTCTGAGATTGCTGGTGGATGCGTTTGCCAACACGAACTTGACCTCCACACGCGGCTTCACTAGCCTCATGATCGCTTCTCAAAGTGGCCACGTGGAAGTTCTGCGTTTGCTTCTGGAGGCAGGGGCTGACAAGAACCTACAGAACAACGACGGCAACACTGCACTGATGATCGCTTCCAACAAAGGCCACGGAGAAGCTCAGCGTTTGCTTGAGGAGTTCGGTGCCGACAAGATACAGAAGTGATAAGCCTTAATCCTGAGCCCGAAGAGACTTCTCGATCCTTTCCACCACACCGCTGAACCTAAGTTCTAGACCCGAATCCCCAGCCAGAGCAATGACGATTCTCCAACGAGATGTCACTGCACTCTCCAGCCGGCGCAGCAACGCACGGGCGTCGCTAAAGCCTGCGAAAACCCGTAAGTTTGCAGACGGAAAAAGTTGGAGTCTATAGAGACTGCTTGTTTTAGATACTGGCGGTTCAAGTCTTTCGGTGCTGAAGCGGTCTTGGGTTTCAGGACAGAAAAGTTAGGTTCCGGGTTTAGGTTGCATGTTTTCAGGGTTTAGGCTTTGGGTTGTGTATGGTTGAGGTTGCTGAGGCTCGGGCGTTGCGCTTTAGGTTTCCGTCACTTCTGAAGGGTTTCGAGTCTAAGTCACTTTACACTTGGCGAACCGGCCAAGCTTAAGCGGAATAGTTTGGGTATTTATTCAAGCACCTGCTTGGACGTTCATGGGTAGTTGTAAGTAGGGTTATAAGCCTCCTAATCGGGCTTATAACTATAGCTGCCCTACTTATACCCCCCACTTACAACTACCCATAAACCTCCAAGTATCACTGTCCCCACCGCTCCACCCGAATGGCAAAGTCATCTGTCGGAGGCCGAAGAGCAACTGGTGCCAAAGACCCGCGGGGAGGGTGGGTTTCGGGTGAGTGGCAAAGGGTGTGGGCTTCTAAAGGTTTTTCGGCCTAGTGGGGGTAGGTTGGCGGGTTTGAGGTTTGGGGTTCGGAGACGCAGGGTTCGAGGGCTTTTTGGCGCAAGCGCTTCGGGTTCTAGATCCTCGTATCCAACCCTTGACGAAGGCAAGTTGATTAAACCCTTAACCCTAAACCCCAACCACTGGCTCCTCCTAGTGCAGGAGTTCTAGCACCCTAAACCCTAGACCCTAAACAGCTGTGGACTAGGAAAGTTGTTGACCATCTACTAAGAAGGAAAGGCCCGACGAGCTACATCAAGCCGTGTTACCCTAAAGCTCCCTAAAGCTTAAAATCCAAGGGTAAAAGGAGGGACCCTTAATAAGGACCCCTAGGTATATACCCTTAATGTAGCTATGATATACCCAGTATATAGCCCCGTTATAGGGTGGGGGTCCTTATTAAGGGTCCCTCCTTTCCCATTTGATAAAACCTACACCCAACTCAAAGCTACTTGGAGGTTCATGGGTAGTTATAAGTGGGGCTATAAGTAGGGAAACTGTAGTTATAACCCTTATGAGGGGACCTATAACCTTGCTTATAACTACCCATGAACCTCCAAGAAATCATGTGGTTATCAGTTGAAGGCCCAGCAGGGAGGGCTTCAGGATTGTTTTCAGGCTTAAGGGCTTAGGCTTAGTCTTCAGGGGTCCTTGCAGTAAAGATCCGATTACGTAGTACCCATAAGCCCTAAATCTTAAGTAGGAGTAGTACAGTTTGAGAAGCCCGGGAAATCTAATTCTCAAGGACATTCTTTGCCTCGACGGCTTCTGTGTTCTGCTTGAAGGTTCGAACTTCTGTTGCCGAAGCGGCAGGCGGCTCGGGTTTATAAGTGGGTTGTTTTGTGGGTTCACTGTAGCTATGACCCTTATTAGGGGACTTATAACCTTACTTGCAACTACCCATGCACCTCCAAGTAGTATGCACGGGCCAGAGCCAACAGCAACGTGCCGCACGGATCGGCCGGCACGCCGATGAGTTCGGCTTTCAGGTCGGCTTCGGCGGCGACGTTAGTGCATGGGATGCGTCGTGGGGTCCTGCGGTGTGCGGGCTTGCCCAGGAACTGGAACGACTCATGTTGTCGCCAGAGTACATACGGGTCACGGGTGAACGCTACCGCGCCAAGTCGATGTCCGCCACTTACGCGCCCGGTTGGTGTATTTACACTACTCAGGCGATTCGGACACTTCGGGGTCCAACGGGGCGGTGCATCTCAGCCATCATTGCAGCAGCCATCGTGGTGCTGACGAAGGGCGAGATTGACCTGCTCAGTGACGACGGAGTCCTAATCATCGTGGGTTTAGGATTTAGGGCTTATGGCTTGGTGCTCGCAGACAAGCTGCAGACGCCTTCCTTCGCAGAATCGTTGAGACAGTTCTCGGCAGTCATGGGCAGCAGCAAATACGTGTCACAACCCTAAACCCCAAAACTAAACCCTAACCCCAAACCCTGAACCTAGATGAACCTCAATACCTAAACAAGAGATTTCAAAAACCGAAGCGTGCCTTCGCAGGAAGAGCCGCGTCTCGGACGAGTTCAAGCGGCTGGAGAAGGAAGATCCCATCCTCAAGGATCTTGGGATTCTGGGTTTTTATGATGGGGTTTAGAGTTTCGGGTTTAGGGCTCAGGGGGCCCAATCCTTAAGGATCGTGGGATTGGGGTTTTTATGAGCGCTCTATGGGCTCCGTACAGTTCTTATGAAAAGAAGGTCTTAGAGGTTTGCATTCGGGCTTTAGAAATTGATAGAGTTGTTTTGCTTCTTTTTTTCTACCGGATTCGTCAAGGGTTCTAGAAGGGTTTCGAAAACCGTTGGGATTTCGTCTTTGGCGCTTAGGTCAGGGATGTGTTATCCGGGGTTTGAGGCTTTGGGGGCGTAAGTAATGTTCTTTGTATTTCGGGTTTGCATCTTTCAGCAATCGACGGGGCTTTCAATCATGAGCCGCAAAGAACCCATCACACTTGGATCTCGCAGAGTCTTTCTACTTTCCAGCGGAGGGCTTAGGCAGGGTCGAGGCCCAGTGTAGGGAGTCATGTCTTTTTTGTTTTGGCGGGGCCTTGGCGGTTCTGAACTTCATGGTCTAAACTCTACCTGGACCCTAAGGAACCTGCCTTTTTAGGGTTCCCTAATATGATTTCTTTATAAAAGCCCTTAAAAAGGTAGGTTACTTGGGGTTAAGGTAAACCCAAAAGAAGGGGGCACTTGGGCATGCTCGACGATCTGTTGGATCATGCTATGAAGCTCCCGCGGCATGCGCTCGTCGCGCTCCGAAAGATTGTCTTCCGCGAATGGAGCCTGTCGCGAAGGAGCTGCAAACTGCTTGACCTAATTCCGATGACATCCAGGACGATCGTGTCTGCAAATGTTGCAGGCAATGGAACATACCATGAGAGCCTTAATAATTACCTATACCATTTGGGGGGTTCCTTATTACAATCATATTATAGTGGGCCCCAAAACCCTATTCTAATGACTAAGGCCCCTATTCTTGCTGTCTGAAAGCGTCGCTGGTGCACCCAGACTCGCTTTTCTCGCGTCCGGCAGCCTCGCTAAGACCTGCATCTTGCAATTGCGCATGAGGAAGTTTTCGGAGGGTTTAGGGTTCAGGGTTTAGGGTTTAGGGGTTTAGGGTAGCGTTTAGGGTTTAGGGGTTTAGGGTTTAGAAGGTTTTGGTGGAGAACTTGAAGGTGGTGGCCGGCAGAAGTACCACAATGCCAGTGCAACATCACCGGAGAGTCCATCCACACTACCCGTAGAGCAAGCGGACTTAGGGTGCAAGGACTAGTGAGGGCTTCGCTTGCGCGGCTCTGAAGACCCTTGTAGAGCTCTGACTGTCAACCCTAAGCCGTAAGAACGAAACCCGAAGCTCCCAATACCCCTTAATTAAGGAAAATGCCTTAGGTCATAGTAGTAAGGCCCCTTTTATTTAAGGTATGCTCCTTAATGAAGGGGTATTGGGTTCTCTGGGTTAAACAGCCCCGTGAAGCCCGGCAAAACCCTAACGATGATGCCCGGAGCTCTTCTGAAGCCTTCGATGGGTTTCGACAGCCCCCGTGAGCACCTTGTAACACCAGCATCCTATTCCCTGAACCCACATCGACAAATCCGAATCCCTCGACCCTAAGACACCAAACCCTCATACCGTACCTGTACCCTGATACCCAAACCTTAAGACCCGGCGTCCCAAATCCGGAATGCTTCGCGGCAGGAGAACCCGCAGCGATGGGTGATGTTCCCGTGGCTTGGCTTAGGAAGTAGTAGTAATGAAATCCCGTTATGGTCCTTCCCTAAACCCTAAGCCCTAAACCCTAAACCCTGTATGAGTTCAAGATCAAAAAAGAATTCAAAAGCGAATTACAATCATTCAGGCACCCTGACCTTAAACCCGAAGACCCCACAGGAGGAGTCTCCAGGTTCAGAGTTGAACAAGTTTTTTGGGGGTCGCGGGGGCGAAGGTTTAGGAGCCTGATCCCAACACCCTCAGCCATTAACGGTTTAGGGCTTCGGGTCCCTGATTTGGTGTTACAGTGGTAGCCAGAAAGTTGGAATATGATTATCGTAACCCCTTTAAGGTAAATTATAGGGGATCCTACCATGAAACCATATTCCAACTTTCTGGAGTTCCCTGTAGGGGCTTTTGTGCAAGCATGTTTTCGTTAACGTTCAGGCTTGCCCATGGAAGGAACATTGAAGCACCGAGCTTTGAAGCTCGTGGCTCACGGTCTTGAAGTGATTCTGCAGGAGGTTTTGTGGGTTCTTTCCGGGGTTTCATAAGGGTTTCGTAATGGTCTTTTAAGGTTTTTTTTATACATGTTGAGGTTTCCATATGAACCTTGAGTCGTAGGAGGCAGATAGCAGCCTGACCCTCAACCCTGAAGCCTCAACCCTAAGCCCGAAACCCCAAACTTGCACGATAACTTCGGTGGGCCCCCTAAACCCTAAACCCTAAACCCTAAACCCTAAACCCTAAAAGCCTTGAACCCCTGAAGCTGCATCCTCCAAGCCTTTAACACTTACACTTAAGAGTCCTCAACCCTTCAAGAGCGTTTAGCATGAAGGCCTTTGTATGTGGGCAAAGAAAAGATAAGCCCTTATTTGATCTACTTGAGCTTTAGATGCCACTTAAGGAGGATTACTACCCTAAGCCCTAAACCCTAAACCCTAAACCCCTAAACCCTAAACCCCTAAACCCCTAAACCCTAAACCCTAAACCCCTAAACCCTAAGCCCTAAACCCTAAACCCTAAACCCTAAACCCCTAAACCCTAAACCCTAAACCCTTACGGTTGACAGCACTTAAGGAGGATTTAGGTTGTCAGGCGTGAGGGGATTTTTGGCTGCGACCTGGGGCTGAAGGCAGCAGTTATACGGTTGATGATATAAATCCTGCATTACCTTAATGCCTTAATGACCCCAAACTACGGGAGTTATGGTATACTCCTTGTTATGTGTCATGCAGGATTTATATCGTCAACAGTAGTTTGGGGGTCGGAGGCTTTTTGGGTCAAACGGTAGACTAGCGTGGAGGCTAAGACGCATCCACCGTGAATGCAGCAGCCCGGTGTTTGAGGGGGCGTTCACAATTAGAGTAGGGTTTTGGGAAAGATTATACTATAGTCATAATACGGATCCGCCAACTCCGCCAACCCTAAACCCTAAACTAAACCCTATAAACCCACAGTATAGGTAGTTACTAAGGCCCCTATATTACCTTATCAGGCAAGCTGCCTCCTAAAGCTTCGTCTGAGTCCATGCTGGAAGGAGGCATCATGACGGGAGCGAGTCAGAGCTAGTGGTGAGTACTATAGGGGCCTAAAAAAATTACCTCTACTATTTTGGGGATTCGCTATTCTAATTATAGTATAATGGGCCCCAAAAGCCTATTCTAATTATGAAGGCCTCTACATTAGATAAGGGGGTTTTTACGGGTGCTTGGTGTGACGCTGGACCATACATGGCTACATGCAGGGCCATAGGCTGCTTATGAGACAGGAATACCATGATCCTTCAGTTAAGCCTGCAACGCCGGAGCAACAATCTTTCACCGCCACTCCAGAGAACGGAGCAGCTCGCACAATAATAACAAGCGCGAAAGTAGCACTATGAAGCATGATCTTAACAACCATAGCAAATGACAATAAACATGAAAATAGAGCTATGAAGATTTATCTAAACAAGAGATAATAGCAACAATGAAATGCAATAAGAAGCCCATCTTCCTCAAGCCGAAGCATCGAGCCCGTTTTTCTCCGCAAACCATGCAGCAGGAAACTCCGTGTTCGATCCTTCCTTCTTTTCCTCGAGAAGCAACCATAAAAACCAACCCCTAAAGCCTGGACCCTACTTGGAGGTTCATGGAGACTTATGAGTGGGGTTGTAAGTCCCCTAATAGGGCTTGCAACTGTAGTTACCTTGCTTATGACCCCACTTATAACTACCCATGAACCTCTCCAAGTACTTGCCAACCCCTACAGCCTGGACCCTAAACCCTAAACGCTGAACCTAAAAGCCTCCGTCGATCCTGACACCAGAGCGCCCTACCGGGAGTTTCCGAAAATAGGGGGACCCCAATTTACTACCCTAAGTAGTAGGATCCTTATAAAGGGCCCCAAAATAAGTTCCCCCCCAATTTGCCTAAACCCTGTATAGAACCCTTATAGATCCCTTTAAGGAACCCTGAAAGGACGCCTTTAAAGAATAAAGCCCAGGTTGAAGTACACGGAGGTTTGGGAGATGTACAAGAAGCACGAGGCGGACCTCAGGGTTGGGTGGTGGGTCGCAAACTTTGCGCCCTTCGTGAGTTTGGGCCCTAAACCCTAAACTTTAAACCCTAACCCAGAGAACCCAATACCCTTTAATTAAGGAATATACCTTAAACAAAAGGGCCTTAGTATTCTGATTTAAGGTAGGTATATTCCTTAATTAAGGGGTATTGGGCTCTCTGGGAAACCCTGAACTCTAAACCCTAAACCCTAAACCTGCTCGAAAATTAGTTCACAGCTGTGCTGAGAGGCTTCGTTCTGGACAGCCGAGGAGATCGACCTGGCGCAGGAGCTTAGGGTTCAGGGCTTACGGGGGTTTGAGGGGGTTTACGGGGAGTTTAGGGGTTTAGGATTTAGGTTTAGGGTTCCGGAGTTTAGGTTTAGGGTTTGGGGCTTAGGGGGGTTTAATTAGGGGGTTTAGGGTTTAGGATTTAGGGCTTAGGGTTCCGGGTCTAGGTTTAGGGCCTATGGGGGTTTAAGGGGGTTTAGGGGGGTTTAGGGTTCAGGATTTAGGGCTTAGGGTTCCGGGTTTAGGTTTAGGGCTTAGGGGGGTTTTAGGGTTTCGGGGAGTTTAGGGTGCCCTGTCAAGCCCCAAGTCCGATACCCAAAGCTCTAAACCCGAAGCCCTAGCAGCAATTTACAGAAGCAGACCGACACCCTTCTACACTGATTCTACACTAAAGCCCGCTTTAACCTACAGCAGAACCACCTGCAAGAGCTGTCCCAAGACCCTACACCCATACATCCAGAAGTTCCTGAATCCATGAGTCCTATAAACTCTCACCCAAAGGCCGCCCAAAGCTTCGCAGGACCTAAGGCCCTTGAACTTTAGGGAGCTATCAGAGGCCAAAGGTTGTGCGTGCTTGAGCTCGGAGGGTGCGAGGCCAGCACTTCGGAAGCTGGCAGGCTTTAGGGCGTTGGCGTCATGGTTCAGGGTTTAGGGTTTAGGGTTTAGGGTTTAAGGGTTTAAGGGTTTAGGGTTTAGGGTTTAGGGTGGGGCTTGGTAAATCGGTCATCGTTGCTGTCAAGGCTGTCCCCCTTTGTGCTGTCTGGCTCCTGACCTTGCGTGAAGCCGTCTGACGAATAAGTGGGGTTCCGGGATCAGGGGAGTCTCTCAATATGTTAGTCTGCAGAACCCCAGGGAGTGTAGTGTGTGTAGAACCCGAAGGCCTACCCCACACTCCTAGACCCTGAGCCCTGAAGCTTAGGCTTAAACCCTGGTTCCTACACGCCCAACCTGAATTTCTCAGCTAGCAGCTACACCAGAAACCTACGCCCGGGTTCTTGCTAAGGAGTTTCGTTCAAGTTACCATAATTGGGATCTAGTGTCGTACAAGGTTAGATTATAGTTGTTGCATTATATACGTCTCGAAACCATTGAGGTTAGACAAGAGTTGTAGAATTATACCTTCAGAGACCGTGAAGATGTAATTAGATAAATAGCTTCCTTACCATAAGCCCTAAGCCCGGAACCCTATCGGAGTTAGGATTAGGGGGACCCTTGGGGATATAGACCCTCTCAATAAGGCCCCTTTTAAGAGAGCCAGAAGTAGGGTTCAGAAGGGGTACCCGTTAAGGGGTCTCCCTAATAATACTACCTACCCTAAAGCCAAAACCCTAAAGCCCTTAAACTCCTTAGGAGGAGCCAAGACATCCCCCACGTGCCTTCTGAGGACAACAAAGACTGGGCCAACTTGAACGAGGGCGAACAGCACTTCGTGAAGCACGTGCTCTGTCTGTAGTGTTTTTGGTTTTAGGGTGCTGGTATTCTAGATTTTTTGGATTATTCAGGTTTCATGGTTTAGTACATAGCAGCACTTCGGGACCTGGCTTTAGGGGTTTGGGTTTGGACGGATTTGACGGTTTTGGGGATTTTCGTGTTCTGTGGTTTTCGGATTTATCTCAAGTTTTGGGGGTTGTAGGGTTTTGGGATTTCAGAAGTGCAGGGTTTTTGTTTCAGTTTGGGGGTTGAGGTTTAGGGTTTAGGGTTTAGGGTTTAGGGTTTAGGGTTTAGGGTTTAGGGTTTTTTATTGGGTTCTGTGAAGCGTGCACTATGGTCAGCTTGAGCATTGACGGTTTAATGTTCCTAAACCTTGATCTCAGAGCCCAATAAAACTATGGCCAACACCCCGTGAGCCCCAAACCCTGCATGCCGACCCGACCCCCCCAAACCCTGAACCTTAAATACTCAGCCCTACGCCCGAGTGCTTAGCAACCTCAAACTGGACCTTGAACCCGCAATCCTCGGCCATTGACTTAGGATTTACAGGGGGCATTAAAGACTAGGGTGCACTGCGAGAGACTCCGACAGTACGGTGGTGGCCCCACAGGCAAAAAGCCAGTCCACACTACCCCACAGCATGCAGTAGCATATTTAAGTAGCAGAGTCCCTCCAACCAAAATCCTGCTTTACTACCTCGGCCTCCATGATCAAGATTCAGGGTCTGAGGCCTAAGAGGGATTAGGGTTTAAGGGCATAGGGTTTAGGATGTAGAATCTAGGATTTTTTCGCCTTTTAACTCCGTCTTCAGCTACATGTGATGATACGAGCCGTCGCGAAACACACCCGGAAATTGAAAGCTTGGGATATACCTACCTTAACCCTACGTAACCTACCTTTTTAAGGACTTATATAAAGAAATCAGATTAAGGAGCCCGAAAAGGATAGGTTCCTTAGGGTCCAGGTAAGCCCTACACCCCCAACCCTGAACCCTAACCAACCCAAAGCCCTTGTCCTAGCCCGGGGGCCCAAGAGCTGGCACAACTCAATGCCTTTTATTATTATTATTATTATTACTATTACTATTACTATTACTATTACTATTACTATTACTATTACTATTACTATTATTATTATTATTATTATTATTACTATTATTGCTATTATTGCTATTATTACTACTACTACTATTATTATTATTGTTATTATTGTTATTATTATTGTTATTATTATTATTATTATTATTATTATTATTATTATTATTATTATTTGTATTATTATTATTGTTATTATTATTATTATTATTACTACTATTATTATTATTATGATTCTTATTGTTTTTGTTATTACTCTTGTAGGAATAACAATAGTTATTATTAGTATTATAGTACTAATAATAATAAGTATTATTAGTATTATTGTCATTATTTTAAACCGGAAATCCCCGACACCCTGAACCCTCGACTGGAGGCCCGAACCCCTGCACCCCAAGGGCAAGGCCCCCAACCCGAAGCTTGCAAACCCAACACCCACCCTTTAGGGTTTAGGGTTTAGGGTTTACGGTTCCCAAAAGCCCACCCTAAATCTTACAAGTCACGGAGAATCCCAGGTTCTGGCCTTCTTTGCCGCCTCCGATGGCATCGTCTTGGAGAACTTGGCGGCGCAGTTCTCATCGGAAGTGCAGATTCCGGAGGCAGGCTTCTGGAAGAGGTTCAGGGTTTTTGGGGTTTAGGTTTTCTGGTTTTAGGGCTTCTCTTCTTACCTGTACTGCTGCTTCTGCCGCTTCTGCCGCTTCTGCTACTGCTTCTGCTGCTTCTGCTGCTGCTACTGCTGCTACTGCTGCTGTTGCTGCTGCTCTTGTTGCAATTACTCGTGCTGCTGCTTACTGCAAGGGGCGGATAGAAGACTTCGTGTGCAGGGGTGTGGTGGTCAAGTGTTCAGAGTGTGGGGTTTCGGGCTTTAAAGGCTACAGCGAACCCCAGAAAGTTGGAACATGGATTTAGGATGATTAGTGCTAGGTTCCCTTATACTTCACTTTTAAGGCCATGAGGATCAGAATGTTCCAACTTTCTGGCTTCTACTGTATAGGGATTCGAGTCCAGGCTTCAGGGCTCAGAGTCGCGGCGACTGGCCGGTATAGGTTGGGTACGGCCCCCACTCAGTAACAGTTGGATAGTATTCATAATATAGATATATAAGGCCCTTAGTAGTAGCCCTATTATAGACTGTTACTGTATGGGGGCCGTACCCAAGGTATGGGGCTTGGTGATCAGAACCTTGGAGCTGCTGATTTCCCTACGAACAGCAAGGATAGCAGCGGCAGCCATCGTAGCAGCTGAAGCCCTAAACCCTAAACCCCCTAAACCCTAAACCCTAAACCCTAAACCCTAAACCCTAAACCCTAAACCCTAAACCCTAGACCCTAAACCGGAAGTGCTTGTACTCATTGCCCTCTGGATGCAGGAAAATGACCGATCAAGCTAGACCGAAGATGGGAGTTTCCGAAAATTAGGGGCTAGCTTATAGGGTTCCTTGAAAGGGTTACTATAGGGGTACTATAAAAGGTTCCTATAAAAGGGCTCTATAACGAAAAATAGAGGGTTCCTTATCTTGGGGTCCTTATAATAAGGATCCTACTATTTAGGGTACCACAGTAGGGTCCCTATTTTCGGAAACTCCCAGATGAACAGGTAAGCACCACACTGCAGGGTCATCCCGTTCAGGATTTCGGGTTCAACCCGGGGTTTGATTGAAGCTCGAGGTTCGGTGCCTGCAGGGTTTAGGGGCCTCTTACCTGGGACTGAATAACTACTATTTGCTTAAGAAACCCCCAAAAAATAAAAATAATAATCCCTATATTACCCCCATAAGGAATATATTTTTTATTTTTTGGGGGTTCTTAAGCAAATAGTAGATAAAAAACCCTGTAGTTTGGGGGGGGCCTCTGTGTTAAGACGATAAACCCTAAACCTTAACCCGACTAGAGCAAAGGACCCTACTGGGGTTTAGGAGTTGAAGAGCTTAGCGTGGTGGCTTTGAGGGTTTCAGAGTGCAGGATAAGGCCTCCCATACTATAACCATTATGGAAACCTTCTTATTATAGCAACCCTTCTAGATCCTTTGAAATGGAGCCCTATTCTAGTTATTAAGGCCCCTCTATCTCGAGCCTTCTAGAGCCCTTATTATTATAGTAAGGTTTAGGGTTTAGGGTTTAGAGTTTAGGGTTTAGGGACCTTCTGAAAGGATCATGGAACCCTATTTTAATCATGATGGCCCCCCCCACATCAGGTTAAGAAGCCTTCGAGTGCTCAGAAGTTTTCTTCCCGCCACGGTAGACAGAAACCTTGACTCTTAAACTCGATCGTAAACTCCTAAACCCCCCAAGCCCCAAACTCCTGAACCCTTAGCCCCAAGCCCTAAACTCCTAAACCCTGAGCACGCTGTGGATATTTTTTGGCACCTTTGGCCCGGAGTTGTCAAGGGCCTCGCGGTTACCCCCCACGAAACTCAGACGACCTGACCCCTTCCGAGTAGCAGCAGCTCGACCACTTGCAGAATACCCGGATCGCCCTGGTCTTCCATCACTCCCGTGTCCAAGCAATGTTTAGCAGCTTGCCTATCGAATTGGACATCACACCGGCTACCTCCAAGAGGGGCGGGCTCGTCCGGGGACTTATCCTCCGGGGCTTGAGGACATTGGATATTTGGGCCACCACCGTGGTGTGCAGCTGTCAGTATGCGAGCGAGAGGTGCGCCTAGAAGGGCTGCGCTTCTGGTTCGAGCTCACGCGCACGGAGCCAGCTGGAGATGTAGCAGATCGCGCTCTCATCTACATTGCTGTCAGCTTCACATGTGACGTCTTGCCCGTGGCCATCCGGGATTGCATGCATGTGACACTGGGTCCATGGGATGTGAGTGGACTGAGAGGACGAATCGATGTCGTGCGTCTGCTCGAGCAACTTTAGGAGAGATCCGTCACATAGACCTTAAATCAGACAATCGGCAATACCGGGTTTTCCAGGATCCGAAAGTAATTATTACTTTCGGATCCTGGAAAACCCGGTATTAAATACTATCCTTCATATAAGGATCCTACAAAGGGCCCTAAACTGCAGGGTCCCGGTATCAGAACTCCCTAAGCCCTGAACCCAGAGCCCCAAAAACCCTAGCCTCCTAAACCCCTAAACCCCTAAGCCCCTAAAGAGATCCGGCAGAGGCGAGGGCCTTCTATGGCTTCCAGATGGCAGGGCGCTCGGCTTTTCCTGGCTGGTGTTAGGATTTAGGGCTTAGGGTTTTCACTGATTTTTTGGAGTTTTAGGACTTTCGGGGTTTAGGGTTTTCATTCCGAAAAGGAGTGTTAGGACTTTTGGGGTTTAGGGGTTGAGGTGCGTGTTGGACCTTCCGGCCCAGGTTTCAGAGGTTGAAGGTTTTAGGGTTCGGTGATTGTGAAGTCCTGGTGCAGGGGTGTTTATATCTTAGAGGCTGCCCCCACCCTATAATAGTGACTATAAGGATTATAGTAGGGCCCTATTATATTCCTATTATGCCACTATTACAGGGTGGGGGCAGCTTCTAATTTATATCTTAGAATCTTGAGATTGTAGGGTTTAGAGGTTCAGGACCCGGAGAGTATCCTTCTTACAGCTTCAGGGTTTAGGGTTTCATTTCAATCCCGAGCTTCTTTTGTTCAGGTCAAAGCTCTGGGGTTTATCCAGCGCTGGCATTGTAGGACTTGAACACATGGCCTGTCTCTTAAAAATCCCAAACAAGTCACCGCTTGTGTCAAGTTCTTATCCTGGACCCCAAAAATCCCCACGACAAGGCGCACCCAAACCCTTCCTGAAACCATTCTAACCATAAAGGCCCTGTAGTGCACCTGAACCGTGAACTCTATATGGGTGATTATGGGTGGTTGTCCAAGTTAGGGCCGCTTTTTGGCTAATCTAAATAATAGGTGCCGTATTATAATAGGGACCCAAAAAGTGACCATAATTTTGACAATCACCCATATCCTAACCCGGAGAAGCGTCGATCCGCCGTGTACTTCCCTCCAGGAGCATATCGCCATGATGCACACAGCCATGAGCTTAAGCCTCAAAGCCCATCTAAAGCTTCAGCTCTCGGCCCTAGGCTAAGGGTTTAGGATTTTAGGTTAAACCCGCCGAATCCTTTGAAGGAACCCTTCCAGCCTCGACTGTCAAGTTCGGGATGCTCTCAACACCATCGCCGCAGGCCATGGAGAACATCCACTCAGAGACCTACTCTCTTCTGATCGAGCAGTACATCAAGGAGCCATTCGTTGTTTCGGGTTTAGGTTTTTGAGGCTGAGGGTTTCTGGTTGTATCCCATTAGGGTTTAGGGACCCTAAACCCTTAAACCCTAAACCCTAAACCCTAAACCGGAATCCGGCTTCAAAGCGTGCAAGGTTCTAGTCAGACGCTGGCTTCCGAGGTAGTGCAGGGGCCTTATATGATTAGGCTAGGGTTTTGGGGTGCAATATATTATAACTATAATGAGGGTTAAGGGTTAAGGGTTTAGGGTTTAGCGGAACGCTAGGGAATGATCAAGGTAATTATTCAGGCCCCTATATTGTCCAAATATGAAGCTTTCTTGCTGCAACCCTCAACCCTGTACCTCTGACGACTCCAGATTCATCCTCCCATCATGAGCGGCAGTGTGGAAGCTGTTGGTGGAGTAGGAGATGTTGTTCGAACATCAGCACCCTAAACTCCTCAACCCAAAAACCCGAAACCCTAAACCCTGAACCCCTATTGCATAAACCCCTAAACCCTAAACCAAAACCCTACGCCCCTAAACCCCTAAACCCAGCATGCCCAAGCTGTACCCAGAGAGCCCAATACCCCTTAATTAAGGAATATAGCTTAAATATTATAGGGCTTCATATTATGATTTAAGGTATATTCCTTAATTAAGGGGTATCGGGGTCTTTGGGTAAGCCCAGCGAGTCGAGTCATGGCCGAGGACCCCAAGGAGCGAGACGTCCTCTTCGATGCCATCCACACGATGCCGGCGGCGCTTCGGCCGAGAGCGTTGAAGGGTTTAGGGTGTTGGGGCTCAGGGTTTTGGGGCTTTGGGTTTTGGGGTTTAGGGTTCAGGGGTTTGGGTTTGGGGGTTTGGGGGTTTAGGGTTGAGGGTTTAGGGCTTAGGGTTCAGTCAGGGGTTTGGGGTTTGGGGCTGAGGGTTTCGGCATTGGGGTCCTAAGGAATTTCGCTCAAGATATCGCGATAAGGAAATCCTGTTACGTACTTTAAAAGTTCTTGCCACCTAAATTTCAAGGTACCGCTATAGGTGACATCGCGCTATAAGTAGACTGAAACTCCAGCCCCTGACGAAATCACCATCAACACCCAAACATCCACAAAGGCCTCAAGCCGGAATACATCCCAACGAACCCCATACACCAGTAGATTGGCTAAGCCCGAAACCCTTAAACCCCAAGCCACAATGCAGACACTCCGCGGCCCAAGACTGCTAGGCCTCCCAGAACACCAAATCAGGAACCCTAGGTCCCCACTCCCCGAGCCTCAAAGCAATTCACTTAAGCTCAGGGGTACTTAGAAATATTTTTTAATTTTTGGTTATTATATTCCCTAAGAAACAGCTGAAATTATAATTTTTGCTAGGGTTCTAAGTTCAGTATAGTAAGGCACATGCATTACAGGATTTAGGGCTTGGGGTGGTTCGAGGGACGCTTATTCAAATTCAAGGGGTACTCCTTACCTCCCTGGTTCTTAGTAGGGAATGGGGGAATGGAACCCTACGGTAGTCCATTGACGTCCCTTGTAGTAGTCCACATAACCCATTCCCCCATTCCCTACTAGGACAGGAACCATTGAGCCTCTAAGAAAGAGCTCAAAGGGCCCTAGCCTCAAGCCTAAACCCCAAAGCCAAAGCCTAAACCCCCCCCGAAATCTCTGAGCCCTCAACCCTAAACCCTGACATCCCTAAGCCCTAAACCCAAAACCCTAAACTCTTAAACCCCTGAGCCCTATATCCCTTAAAGGAACCCCAAAATTGCCCTTTGAAGGAACCCCTAAAACCCTGAGTCCTAGGGCCCCACCCTTAAATCCTAAACCCTGAGCCGTGAAGCACAGGTCCGGGAGAAGGCTCAGTGGGCCATCCAGTGGATGAACCGCCCCTCGGTTCAGGGGTTTAGGCTTTTAGGCTTTTAGGGTTTTAGGGGTTTAGGAGTTTAGGGTTTTAGGGCTTTAGTGGTTTAGGGTTTGAGGGTTTTAGGGTTTTAGGGGTTTTGGGGTTAAGGGGTCGAGGGTTTAGGGTTTAGGGGTTGAGGGTTTAGGGTTTAGGGGTTGAGGGTTTAGTTAGGCGTTTCTAAGGATTGAAGCTTTAGCGTTGTGGGTTAAAGGCGTAGAGTTTCACCGACTTTTCACCACTTCCCAGAATCCCGAACCGAAAGTTCGGTTTTGGGGGTTTTGGGGGTGTCTACTTTTGTTTAAGGGTTTAAGGGTTTTTGAAATTGGGCTTTTCGGGCGTAATGCTATGTCCCATGATCCTCTAAGTAACCCTAAAAACCCCTCTTATAGAACACTTATACATCCCTTTTAAGGAGCCCTTTAAGAAACCTTAGTTACTAAGTCCCATGATCCCCCAGGTAGATCCTAAACCCTAAACCCTATACATCCACTGCAGGCTCTTGAGGGTTTTGGGGGCCTGCAGAGTTCGGTCTTTGGGGCCGACGGTGTCTGGTGGACCACTTTCGATCTCAGCCTTTCTTTCTGGGTTCTTGTTTGGGGATCTATAAAGGGTTCCTTTAAGGGACTATTAAAAGGGTTTAGAGCTTAAGGGTCTTAGTTTAAGTTACCATAATAGGGATCTATAGTGAAGAATAAGGTTTCCGTATAATGGTAACGTAAATTAAGTCTCTTAACAAGAACCCAGTTCCACGCGGTGTTGTAAGATCTGGATTTCAGATTCGCCCTCATGCAGGTGCCTGATGAACGGGCCTTGGGTATTGCTGAAGGGACTAACATGGACTTCGGGGTCTTGAAGCCAGAGCTTCTCATGTAGATTTGTTTTGGTACTGTTTTGGATTCTTAAAACCAAGGGGTTCTTGATGAGAAAGTAATGCCACGTTTTTAGGGTGTAGAACCAGGGTTTCTTCTTGATAAGATCTACGTCAGAATCCTTGGACCAACAAACAAATGAACCCTGAAACCGCCTCAACCCCACGGGGCTTAGGGGCAGGGTTGAGGGTCGAGGGTTTGTGGCTGCGGGTTGATTATGAACTCAGTTGGCCTTGGTCGTGGCCCCCTTGATCTACCTAAACCCCTAAACCCTTATGTAACTTATGTAGCCCTAAGCCCTAAGCCTGGAAGCCCAAGGCCTAAAGCCTAAACCCCGGGTCCTTAGGCCCTGAACCCTAAGCCCTGGACCCTAAGTCCCAAGCCCGCCGAAGCTCCAAATCCTGAACCTTCAGACTTCTGCAGTAAACCCCTGGTGACCTGCAGCACCATGTTCTAATTGTTGAGGCCCCTCCTGTAGGAAGCGTTTTAATTTGTTGTTTCGTTCTGTCAAGCGGGATTTTTGCAGGTAGGGTTCAGGTAGAGGCTCCAGTGCAAGATGTATCGGATTATATAGCAGGGCGACACGGAACCATGCAGTTAAAGGTGAAGGGGTGCAGGTTCTGGGATTATGTAATCCTCTTCCGCAAGCTCTGGAACTCGGAACAGTAAACGACAGCCTAGGCCAAAACTTGGACGGCATCCCCACACCCTGTAAACCCTAACTAAAGCCCTAAACCCTCAAGAAGTTAAACCCTAAACCCTTAAAGCCGAAATTCTTGAACCCATAAAACCTAAACTCTTAAACCTTAATTCTCTGCAGCTTCTGACACTACTTGATGAGTGAAGAACACTTGTCATGGTTAAGCTGTGGTGCTTTTGTTTGTGTAAGCCTGTCGAAGGCAGGGTCGAGGAAGCGGAGAGAAAGGCCCACTGCATTAAAAGAAGAAACCTAATTCCTTCAGCCCGAAGGCCCTAAACTCTAATCCCCGAGACGCCCCTAGGGCCGTACGTTGCCCAATCTCCTGGCTCTCGCGGCCATTCACTTGAGGCCTTGTGGATTTGCTGGAAAAAGCAGACCGAAAAACACAAACAAAAGCTTTCAACCTTGCTTGGAGGTTCATGGGTAGTTATAAGTGGGGTTTTAAGCCCCCTAATAGGGCGTGTATCTACAGTTACCCTACTTACAACCACACTTATAACTGCCCATGAACCTCCAAGTAGGCAGCCCCTATAACCTTATAGAATCCCTATAGATCCCTTTAACCCCTATCCCTATAGATCCCTTTAAAGGGGCCCTTAACGGAACCCGAAGAATCCCTATAGATTCCTTTAAAGGGCCCCTGAAAGGAACCCTAAGAATCCCTATAGATCCCTTTATAGATCCCTTTAAAGGGGCCCCGAGCAAGGCGAGAGCAGCTTTGCTGAGCGCATCGTGGCCTTCGCGGCCGTGGAGGGAGCCGCTCGCTTAGCTTATGACTGTAACTGTTATTAAGAATTAGGGTTTAGGGTTTAGGGTAATTGTTATTAGGGTCTGGGGTTTAGGGTAACTGTGATTAGGGTTTAGGGGTTTGCGGTTTAGGGTAATTTCTATTCGGGTTCAGGGCTTATTGTTATTAGGGTTTCGATTTCAGCGCTTTGGGATTTGGGTTTAGGGTTTAGGGGATTCGGGTTTTCGTTTCTAATCCTCTTCCTTGTCCCATGAGCAAAGGGACAAAGAAGAATGTTTGCTTTTTAGCATCCTTGAGGTTGCTGTTATGGGTAGTTATATTGTTTGTACTATGACGAGCGTCTTCAGCATCAGTATTATTACCATTGCTACCGTGACGAAAACAATGCAAGTGCTATTAGTACTCCTGTTGACTCTGTTGAGTCATCGACATCCACTGCAAGTGGTGACTTCTCAATCAGTCATCTGCCCTCCCACATCCTGAGTCCTCTGTCTTATGGAAGACCAGTTCTGGTGACAGAAGACGTTGGACAATAGCAATATGCGGAACAATCATCGTCGCAACCAGTATCATCATTGCCGTACATTCTGCCAGGTTCGTCATAATCATCCACATCGTCTTCCTCATCATCCTCCTCCTCATCATCATCACCACAATCGTCATTCATCAGGAAGACGAAGAGGAGTACGTTTCCCGAAACTTGCACCAGCGGTGCTTCCTAAATGACCCTAGCATGTCTGCGCCTTAACAGCTAGAATGCGGTTTCGAAATGTTAAACTGTTAAATATAGCCTATAGGCACCTGTATTATATAGGTGCCTTCATACTTAGACTAGGGATTCGGATGCGCTCAGACCTCTCTATCGGCCATGCCTAATTCTCTGACCCTTCCATGTGTGGGTTCAGGGTTAAGCAGCAACCACAGAAAACTCCCAGCCCCAAAAGCTTTCAGCCCAAGAACAACAAGACCTCAACGCCCTTGAAGCCAAAATCCTAAATCCTCAACCCTGAACCCCAAACCCTTAAGCCGCACAGGACTCCAAACAAAAAGAGCCTAAACCCTAGGAGCCCGAGAGCTCACAAAGCCAACATCTCGAACCCGGGTGCTCCCCAAAAACCAAAACCCCAAAGCCTTAAACCCTGAACCCTGAGCCCTCAGCCCTAAGCCCTAAACCCTGAAACCCTAAACCTGAAAGCCTTAAAGCCTAAACCCCTAAACCCTACACCCCTAAACCCTAAACCCTCAAAGCCTTAAAGCCTGGAGCTCCAATGCTCCCAGATTCTCTTCAGCGGCTCCTTCTGCGCTATCTTCTGGCTCAAGAAGACGCCTGGCCTTAGGGGTACTCAGAAATAATTTTTAATTTTTGGTTACTATAATCCCTAAGAGACAGCTAAACTTATAATTTTTGCTAGGGTTCTAAGTTCAGTATAGACTGGGGCCTCGGTGTTTAGGGCATGGGGTTCAGGGGTTTAGGGGAGGCTTTTGGGTTCAGGGGTTTGGGGTATTTAACGATTTAGCGCGTAGGGTTTAGGGCTTAGGGCCATAGGGGTTTATTATTTTTATTTCAAGTTTTGGTGTTTAGTTAGGGTTTGGGGTTACGTTACGGGCTACTGTAAGGGTTCAGTAAGGATTACGTTAAGGTGTACTATAAGAGCAGTTTCTATTTGAGCCGTTAAGTTGTGCCTGCAATCCCGTGGGGAACCCCCCACGCCATCAGTTCATTGTACCGAGCAGAAAGCGAGAATAGGTGCCGGCTTCTTTTGAGTTTATTGACTTCTCTGAGATACTGGCACATCCCCAAACCCTAAACCCCAAACTCTAAACCCTAGACTAAACCTTAAACCCTAGACTAAACCCTAAACCCCAAACTAAACCCCAAACCCTAAACGCTAAACCCTAAACCTAGCATGTGTCGCGAACTCACTGTACCTGAAGCTCTAGCCAAGGCCGATGGCCCTTCCATGCTTAATGTAGGGGCCTTAATTAAGAATTAAATTTTGGGATCCTTTACAGTAAAAGTAGATTTATAGAACGCCTTAAAGCACCCCGTATGGCGCGAACCCTTTACAAAAGGTTCCGGTGCCTAGAAAAAGCTTGAATCCACTCCCGGCATAGAGGGCTTGGGAAAACATCCGAAAGCCCAAACTCTGAACCCCAAACCCTGAACCCCAAAAACCCTGAACCCTAAACCCTGAACCCTAAACCCTGAACCCTAAACCCTGAACCCTAAACCCTGAGCCCTAAACCCTGAACCCTGACTCAGCTCGCAGCCTCTAGGAAAAAGGAGTCCAACAAAAAAACCCAAAACCCTGAGCCCTAAACCCCCAAGCCGTAAACCCTAAGCCCTAAATCCCTAAATCCCTAAACCCCTAAACCCCTAAATCCCTAAATCCCTAAATCCTCAACCCCTAAACCCCCTGAACCCTTGAAGCGTGCTGTCACCAGGAGAGGAATGATGCCAGGGCTGACTTTCTCGAATGAGCTGATCTCGCGGGACGAAGGTCGCCTGTTTAGGGTTTAGGGTTACTCAAGGGGCCTTAAACAAGTGCCTATACCATTTTGGGGGTTCCTTGTTAAATAAATTTTTTCTTGTGGGTTAAGGCCCCCATATTATAAGGCTTTCCTTTGAGGGCTCCGTTAAGGGATCTATGGGGGTCTCTGTAAGGTTCTGGAGGGTTCTGTTAAGGGATTTGTCGAGGTGTCTTAACGGTTCTATGAGGGTTTAGGGTTTTGTAGGTTGAAGGTTCTTGTGAGGGTTCTGTTACGGGATTTACAGAGGTGTTTCGATTTGAGGTTTAGGGTTTATGGAGTTCAGAGTTTGGCATAGGGTTTTGGAGTTCCGGGTGTTGGATGGTTTGGGCTCACGGCTTGAGGCTGAGGAGCACGGCTTCTAGAGCTGAGCCAGGATCCTACAGCTAAGCCCTAAACCCCTAAACCCAACTTGCAGACTCAAAAGGGCCCATCAAAAAAGAAACCCTAAACCCTAAGTCCTTAACCCCTAAAACCCCCGAACCTCTAAGATTTCAGTTCTGGGGTGTGGGAATCTTGGTTCAGATTGCCCCCGAAAGCTCCTTGGGACAGCCAGCTCCTTGAGAAGAAGGTAGAGTTTAGGGTTTAGGGTTTAGGGTTTAGGGTTTAGGGTTTAGGGTTTAGGGTTGGCATCTTCCCCCTGAACCCTACCTGCAGCCGAAAAAGACCTGCTTTTTTAGGGTTCCTTATTATGGTTTCTGTGTATAGTTCCTTAAAGCGGTAGGTCTTTTCGGCTACAGGTAAGCCCTGAAGCCTTCAGCCCTTAATGCCCCTACTTTCCTACCGCCCTTGCGCGAAGGCCTCCATGCAGACTTCGCATGCCTCATCTACCAGTCCCTTGGTCTTGGTTTGGCTCATAAGACACTCTAATGTGATATAATATAGTATAATATGGTACAACATAATATAGTAACGCTCGAAAATACAAACACTACTAATAATATCCTTTCCCCTTGAAGCCTCAACGCCACGCCCGAAGGAAACCCCTCAACCCAAAGCCAAAACGCCGGAACTCCACATTTAAACCCCCCATACAATTTTGCACGGCAAGGCCTCAAAGAGCGTAAAACCCGAAACCTTTTAACCCACTGATTCTCCCAACTAGAACTGCAAGCCCGGAATCAACAGTGCGGCTTCTAAAGCCTGAATGCCGGGTTTAGGGTTTTGGGGTTTAGGGTTTACGGTTTAGGTTGAAAGTTAAGGGTTTACAGTTTCGGGGCCGGCCCTGGGGATTTCAGGATTCATGCCCGACAGAGATCACAGGAACACAGGACCCAGAGAAGTCCTCGACCAGTAGCATAGAGTATACCCGTACAGTCTAGTATGGTACAGTTTTGTATGGTATAGCAGTGTCTGGTATGGTATAGCATACCGCAATAGACTCAGTAGGAAGGGTGGTAGAAACTTGTCAGGCCGATAGAACCCAACCAACTCACACGGTAGTCTTCGTTTCAGACTTTAAGGAAGGCATTATCAACCAAGGAAGACACGGGGGTATGCAGTTCCCCGTACTCGCTGGAAGTCATCACGGAAGAAACTACCCCGAACTATGGAAGCCGGACCACGCCACGCCCAAAACCCAACCTCACCATAAGCACGCAGCCATAGCAAAGCGGTTGCGGGATCCGTCTCGTGAGATGATGTGCACACAGCAGGTACGCAGCGCTTCCCCAACAAAACTAGAAGCTTAAATGATTGCTGAAGTAATCCCATTCTTCAGGGTTGTTTGAAATATTTATACTATTCCAGTGATTTCTGGCCCCTACATTAGGTTTGTTTCTGGCAGCTGGGGCTTGGCCTTCGGAGGATGTTATCGCAGCCTTTATAGTTTATAGTTTAGAAGGGGCCCCCACCCTGTAATAGTGGTATAATAGGAATATAATAGGGCCCTAATATAATCCCTACAGTCACTATTACAGGGTGGGGGCAGCTTCTAATTTATAGTAGCCCTTAAAGGAACCCCTGTCGAAGTATCACGACCCTTACGTTTAGGCATTTTTTCTTTCAGAGCATGATCCTTCTGTCCAAGGGTAAAAGGAGGGACCCTTAATAAGGACCCTTAGGTATATACCCTTAATATAGCTTTTTTTGCCCATTATATAGCCCATTATAGGGTAGGGGTCACAATTAAGGGTCCCTCCTTTTCCCCTAAACCCCCTAAACCCCCTAAACCCCCAAACCCCTAAACCCTAAACCCTTATAGAATCCCTATAGATCCCTTTAAAAGGTCCCCATTAAGTGTCCCTCCTTGATCCTTCTGAGGATGTTGCAGCACAAGCTTCCAGAGGAAATCGTGCACGACATCATCCGCGGCGCGGTGGAGGTGCTCATCTAAGTTGGATTTTGGGACATTTTTTAGTTTCCTTATTTGGGTTTATAAGGGACCCTATATACACATATTTTTCAGGGTGTTTAAAGGCCAACCCAGTCATGGACCTTCTTCTGTTTTGGTAAAGGAGTCTTCGCAACTTCAAAAGGGTTCTTGTAAGTGTTCTACATGGCCTGTCCTTTTAGGGGCCTTCGAAATTAGACTCGGTTGGGTTGAATCATGGTGTGTTGTACAGAGATAGATTGATAGAAACAGATAGATAGTATGCATATCTGTACTCGGATTGTATTCCCAATGTAGTACTTGCTATTCAGACGGCAAATCTGAAGCCCTAAACTCAAGCTTTGAAGCTTTGAACACCGCACCCCACAAGATACCTCCGACACCTTAGCTTTAAGATCTGAGGTGAGCGCCCCAAGAAGAAAGGCTTAATGTCGACCCGCAAGACCTAAACCCGAAATACCCTAAACCCTAAACCCGAGGGACTTGCGGCAACAAAGATGGCTGTACGAGGAACGAAGCCGGGAGCAGTTCTTGATCGGGTGGGTTAGGGGGTTGATCAGATTATTGCCAATGTGTTGGGCTGTTCGGGTTTACAAGGAATTATTTGGTATGCAGACCTCCATTGCGGTTCACGAGGGTGGTTCACGAGTGCTTTTGAGGTTTTGGAGTCTTACCCCAAACCCTAAACTCTAAACCATTAACAGTTATCATGTGTAAGAAAGACTCTAAGCCCTGAGGTATTTAGATTGCACGATATTTTGAGCTGTGGTCCTTTGATACGGCCCCCACTCAGTAATAGTTGAACATTATGATATAGATATAGTATGTAGGACCTCAATAGTAGCCCTATTATAGACTCTTACTGTATGGGTGCCGTACCTAAATTATGTTAGTAGCCCTAAACCCTTAAAGGAATCCTTAGAGGACCCCCTTATAGGAGCCCTATAGATCCCTTTAAAGGTACCTAAGCTGTCGTCCCTAAGCCCCGAACTCAAGCCCGGCAGGTGGAGCGAAAGTTCATCTGCGATGCGTTGTCCTGCGACTTAGTCGGCATGAACAAGGCAGGGCGACAGGTTTAGAGTTTAGAGTTTAGGGTTTAGGATTTAGGGTTTAGGGATTAGGGTTTAGGTCCCTGTTAGCCTCTGTCCCAGGGTGATAGAGAGGGGAAGTGGGGAGGTGAGATGTGTCTTTCGGAGACCAGTTTTAAGTCTTTGGGATCGTGCGTACGGCTCTGTCGGGGGTTTGTTTGGGTGTTGGTGCATTTTAGATGGGCTAAAAATCTCAAGCTTGAGGACTTACTTGACAGAGATCCAGTGCAAGCCGGAAGCACCTCAACAAATACAGTGTCCCAAAACCGTTAGCCTAGAGAGCCCAAGACCTGTGGAATACCCAAACCGCAAGGGTTGGATTTCAGGTCAATTCCTTCTCTAAATTCCATTGATCCTTCTGGCAAGGAAGGAAGCTTAAACCCTAGCAAAAATGCTAAACCCCTACATCCTGAACCCAGAGCCTCCAAAACCCCTGAATTAAGGAATTTTCCTTAAAATGTCATAGGATCCCTTTTCTGATTTAAGGTATATTCCCTAATTAAGGGGTTTTGGAGGCTCTGGGAACTCTAAATCCTCTGGCAGGATCTGATGACGAAGTACATTGAGTTCGTCGCTGATCGACTCCTATCGGCTCTTGGACACAGCCGCTTTGGCAGCCCTGTTCTAGGGCTTAGGGTTTAGTTTGGGGTTTTAGGCTGTTTGGGGTTCAGGGTTTAAAGTTCAGAGTTGCCGGTGTAGGGTTTATAAGGCTTAGGCTGTTCAGGGTTTGGGGTTTTGTTTGGAGTTTCGGCCTTGAGGTTCTGTCGCAGCAAATTCCCCGGATAGTTAGTCCTTGTGTCATTGCTGCGATAGTAAAGATATGGGCGGTTGTCAAAATTAGGGTCCCTTTTTTGGGTCCCTAATATAGTACGGCACCCAATATTTAGGATACCCAAAAAAGGGACCATAGTTTTGACAACCGCCCATATGTACACCGACACCCTATTCTCATGATGCAGGCGCCTATGTTAAGCTAGAGGCTTCGGGGCTTCCAGGACTTTGGGTTTCATGTCTCTGGGGTTTACTTAGGGAATTGGTTTTGAATTTTTTGGTTATTCTAATCCCTAAGAATCAGCTAAAATTGTAATTTTTGGTAGGGTTCAGTCTGGTTTAGGGTTCAGGCTTCGATCGTTTTCGGGTTTCAGGGTCGAGCGTTTCAGGGCCTGTCGCATTTTTTTTACGGTTTCACGTCGGTGTAACCCTTGCCTGATTATTACTGTTACGTCTACTGCAGACTTCCGTTTCTAGCACCATTGTTGCTGTAGCCACTGTACTGCGACTGGTCGCGACCATGAGATCCAATCGATGTTCGGAGTCATATGTCATAGTGAAGTAGCAGCTTGGTGTATGAGTGTGGTTCAGCAGACTGGCACGACTGAGCTGGAGATGTCAACCACGATTCCCGCTGATATCCACAAGGTGATTACGTCGCGATGACGAGCTGCATCTTTGTGTTAGGATGATGACAGTTGCTTGTGACATATGTCCGTATGTAGTTTGTGTCAGCAGCAGTTCGCTATGGGGTGGGAACAGGAAAAGCTATGTATTTTCTTAGTTTGGTGGGGTGCTTTGAGGTGGGGCTGAGATTCTGTGGGCTCAAAATCACGCTGCCGAGCTCATCATACTCATAATAAAAATGATGCTAATACTCATAAAAGTAACAATTACGTACTACTACCACTACTGCTCCTCGTACTACTATTACTACTACTACTACTACTACTACTACTACTACTACTACTACTACTACTACTACTACTACTACTACTACTACTACTACTACTACTACTACTACTACTACTACTACTACTACTACTACTACTACTACTCTACTACTACTCTACTACTACTACTACTACTACTACCACTACTACTACTACTACTACTACTACTACTACTACTACTACTACTACTACTACTGCTACTACTACTACTACTGCTACTACTACTACTACTACTACTACTACTATCACTACTAATAGTATGAATGAATATACCTACCAATCAATATTTAATAACCATAGTTCGAATCACAACAACAATAACTCTAGAACACTAACAGCTAACAAAAATAGTAGGACTAAGAACAATACTAATAACACTATGGGCCGCTTCGAGGCAAGATCTTCGGCTCGGCGAACCCATTCGATTTCATGGAGTTGATCTCGCTGCAAGGCATTTTGTGTTCTTTATTTTTGGTTTCCTTTGAGGGTTCTTTTTCGGGTTCCTGTAAGGATCGCTACAGGTTCCCTGAAGGATTCCTTCAAAGGTGTTTTAGGGGTTTAGGGTTTGGGTACCTTGAAGGGTCCTCCTTTGAGCGTCCTCTTCGAGGGTTCGACTTCGTTGACCTCGCTGCAAGGCAGTTGGCGGTTTGGGGTTGAGGGGGCTTTAGGATTTGGGATCGGGGGTCTAGTCTACGGTTTCGGGCTTCGGGCTCTGGGATCAGGGTTAAGTTAGAGTTCGCGGAAATCTGCAGTGTGAGTATTATTCCTAGCGTCATGCACGCGCGTATGCATATGTGCCTCACCACGAGCGCAGGTACGTAAGCATCCATGTAAGCAGTCACAAGCTGCTTCGCATGTGGGAAACACGCCGCTACGGTTATTGTCATCATCATGAGCCTTGGGCGAGCATTGCGGTCACGGCTATCAGCATGAACACAGCTCCTACTACTGCAATGAGTAGGAATGACATGCTGTTTGTAGTTTGCCATAGGTGGAGTTCTTACCGCCGACTGTGTTTTGCGATCCTCTCTGATCTTGTTCTTGGCACTGTCCTTGCAATTCTTACTGTTCCTGTTGCTGCAACTGTGATGGTTGCTCTGTGCTTCGTGTTGCGGTCACTGCTGCGATCTTGATTACCATTCCTAAACCGCCTAAACCCTAAACCCTAAAACTTTTTATTACCATTCCTAAACCGCCTAAACCCTAAACCCTAAAACTTTTTGACTAGGCGTTTCTGGCAGCACCAGGAAGCTTGCATGGCTGCGACAAATGACACGATCAACCCTAAGCTTAAACCCTAAACCTTAAACCCTAAACTTAAACCCTAAACCTTACACCCTAAACTTAAACCCTAAACTTAAACCCTAAACTTAAACCCTAAACTTAAACCCTAAACCTTAAACCCTAAACTTAAACCCTAAACTTAAACCCTAAACAGTAAACTTAACTCTAAGCTTCCCCTGTTCTCGCTGTTGCATCCACTGGCCGAAGCCAAGCCCCATATCCACCACCCAGAACTTCCGGGGCCCCTGTGTCAGGCATAGCATAGGATACTTGGAGGGTCAGGGGACTTAGTAACTGGTCATTTTTGGGACTTATACGTACCATAACCTCAATTAGGGTCCCTTTTAGGGTACTTATAAGTCTACTTACTATCTACTTACTAAGTCCCCCGACCCTCCAAGTAGTACTAACAACAATAACTAACGGTTTAAGGTTTAGTGTGTAGGGCCCAGGGTAGCAATTCCAAGAAGAGTGTAGTAATAGATGCAGTCGTGCGAATATCGAGGCTTATAGTACAGGCACACCATGAGCTGCTAGCTTCCACACGATGTTCGATCGCAAGCCTTTTCCTGCTCATTGTATGCAGGGCGTCGTTCCCCTTCATTCGTCTGCCAAAGACACGATGCGATATGTGGCGGTGCTGGCGCAGATGGTTTGGCTGTCTGGAGCAGTGCGCACAAACGACAGCCAGAAGGATTTGATGCAGACCGAGTCGCTTTATGGAGACATCAACGAAATCAAAGGTCTGAAGGACAGGAGTTTGGGTGATGCGCGGAAACAGCTTACAAGGCCTAACGATGAGGCGGAAAGGGCCCTGGATCAGCTTGAGCATCTCATGAAGAAAGTCGCATATTCCCGTGGCGATGCGAATCTATGGAAGATGCCTCTGGCCCAAGCCGTGCAAACACGTGGCAACGATGGCAAGACACTGCTCCATGAGGCATCGGAAGGTGCCTGGCAGGGCGATCTGTTGCTGAAGGCTCGGGATCTAAAACTCCACTGAAACATCCACCGTGAATTTTAACCCTGCGACAGGGTTCGGGACCCTAAGTAGTTTATATAATCCCTAAACCCTACACCATTCATGCCTGTGTCAATTTGCTTCCTTCAAGGCGCTTGTTCTCCTGGGCCTCGATGTCAATTCACGCGACGCCTTGGGCCGAACGCCGCTCTGCCATGCTGCCGCTTCGTGCCCCACCAGTTCCTCTGTTGGACTTGCCATCAAAGCGCTCATTGCCTTGGGTGCAGACAAACACATCGCCTGCAACGGAAAGATTCCCGGAGAAGCGGCCCAGGTTGCCATGAATCATTTCTGGAGGTACTCGCAAATGAGGGAACGTTGCAGAGAAGTAGTTCTGTTCTTTAAGCATGGATATTAGCTTAACCCTAGAAGCCGACCCCTGCTTCGACCGTTGCTGGCTGTCCTCTGGAGCAAAAGGACTCATAATTAGTGGCTTTGGTCTGACCTTCCCAGCGGGCTTTCATCACGGTTTAGGTTCCCCTAGATCCTAAGCGGTCCTAAACCCTAAACCCTGAACCGAGGAAGCGGAGAGAAAGGCCCACTGCATTTAAAAAAAACCCTAAACCCCTAACCCCTAACCCCTAAACTCCTAAACCCCTAAACCCTAAACCCCTAACCCCGAAACCCCAAACTCCAGCCTCATCCTTTTAGGATGCCAGAAGCTACGGCTTCTCACGTGCTGGAGAGTTGTTGGAGTCTTCGTCTTGTTCTGAATTGCGGGCTGCCGTTTCGGATTGGGGGTTGATCAACGTTATGGTTATAGGATCCTTAAGGGGGGGTGGTTCAAGGGGGGAGGGTACTAGGGCTTTGGGGAACCTTAGGGAAGCTTAGGGAGTATTGGGGAATAATGGGGATTACTAGGTTACCTACCCCCCTTGGACCACCACCCCTTAAGGACATCCTAATATGGGGCCTTGAAAGGGCTCTATAATGGTTGCTATAAGGGCTATTTGTAGGGGCCTTAATAATCAGAATAGGGTCTGGTCCTAGTATGTTCCTCATAGTTGAGGGGCCAAAAAGGGTCCCATAACTTTGATCAACCCCCAATTGATGGAGCTGCAATGGGCTTAGCCAGTGTTCAAGGAGTAATGTAGGAACCTGATCAAGAAACCATGGGCCTTTATTAGGGTTTTGTACATGAGCCCTACTATTTAGGGGTTATAGGCCCAGGGTTTCTTAATAAGGTTCCTGCATTAGCCTAGTCTTGAGGGCTCTCTACCAGCGTCCCCGGTTTTCTGAAACTCGCCTGGATGAAAACGTGCACACGGATCCTGGATCGTGTTGCATCTGTTGCTGTAGAGCTTTAGTGGGACTTATTGGGTTTAGGGTTGAGGGGTTAGGGGATGTTTTGGTGAGCTTTATTGGGTTTAGGTTGGGTACTGCGATTACTACGGGCCTTATATATCTGGGCTCTAAATGTTACCAAACTGTTGCTGAGATGGGGTAGTATCCAAGCTTTAGGGTTTGATGTTGAGGGTTTGGGTTTAGGGTTGAGGGTTTAGGGTTTAGCGTTGACGGTGTACTTTTCAGGCCTGAGACTGTAAACCGCAATCCTCAAAGCCATGAGAGCTAACTCTGCAGCACCCAAGCCGCATGAGCCACTTACTGTACAACGCCCGTCATAGCCCAACGCCCCAAGCCCTAGGAACTTGAATCCCATCCTTCTCATGTTCCCCGGGTTCAAGTGGCTCTGCACTTGACCCCGAACTCGAAGGCTAACCGACAAAATCATGATTCCAACTTTCAGATACTATTCCTTAGGGTTCCTTATTATCGTTATCCCATAAAGGAGCCCAGTTCCGTATTCCCCTGAGTCCTAAACCCTAGCTTAAAAGAGGCCCAAACCTTAAACCCCTAAACCCCTAAACCCCTAAACCCCTAAACCCCTAAACCCCTAAACCCCTAAACCCCTAAACCCCTAAACCCTAAACCCCTGAGGGCCCCCCCTACATTACACCCCAAAGAAAAAAGCCCCGAGGCAGAAACGCTTATGCAAAGCTCGGCTCTTTGTCTTTCGCAGCCGAACCGATAGGGGGTTTGGGGTTTCGGGGTTTCGGGGTTTAGGGGTGTAGGGTTTAGGGGGTTAAGGGATTAGGGGTTTAGGGGATAGGGGTTTAGTATTTAGACTTTTCAGGAAACCTTATAAAACCCTATAAGCCGCTAAACTTATAGAACCCTGAAAGCCAGTAAGGACTCCAAAACTAGGACCTAGAGTAGGCCCTTATTCCCTTTTTTAGGGTTCAGGTTCCCTTATAAGCCCCTTTAAACCAAAAAGGGCACCCTTTTTATTCCTAGGTTACTCTTGGGTCCCTAAACCCTAAACCCCTATAGATCCCTTAAAGGAACCCTTATAGTACCCTTTAGAGGACCCCTAAACTCTTGGGTCTAGAAAAAGAACCTGAACCGAGGCGAAGGCCCGAACCCTAAGCCGCCGGAAGGCAAGACGAACTTCTTCGAGAAGCGGGTTGGTGAATACCAGAAGGCCGTTTCTTGCTCTAGCCGGAGGGTTTAGGGTTTAGGGTTTAGGGTTTAGGGCTCGGTCTTTGTGCTGAAGAGCCTAAACCCAAGCCCCTGAGATTTTGCCTCTGCCGGGCAGTCTTCACCCGAGCCCTTGTATGCTAAACCTTGGAATCCAAAGAGTGCTAAGACAAGGACCTCAAGTAGTTTGGAGGTCGGAAGAGGTGGTGCATTTATATTCTTATCGTAGAATATTCAGGACCCTACTTTAGCGCTTGAGAAGAAGAAGCGGTGGATGCGCACTCGGCAAAGTCATGCAGCCCGAAATTCTCTGAAACCCGAAAGCCTTAAATGACCCTGAAGCCCCAACTAGAATCCCTACGTTCACCAAAACCTAGTTTTGTGTAGGATCCCTATGAATTCTACATCAGGCTTAAAATTAGGACCCTATAAAAAGCTGGAGTTAATGTATGCCCTATGAAACCTGGTAATGCCTGGTGATACCCACCCGGGCTTTACAAGCCCCACTCGAAACAGTGTAACGTAGCCCCAAAGCCCTAACGCCAAAAACCTTCAAACCCTAAACGGAATTCTCGCTGCACACAAGTTGGAAAATAGACCCTGAACCCTAAACCCTAAACCTAGACCCTAAACCGTAGACCCTAAACCCTAAACTGAACGCCCGAAGCCTTCGACGCGGGGAGGCTGGAGTCATGGCCGGTGCCGGCGACGGGCTCAACGCCTTTTCGCTCCCTGGCCCGAGCCTACTACTGGAGGTTTATGGGTAGTGATAAGGGTTCCTTTAAGGGTCCCTTTAAAGGGTTCTATAGGGATTCTTTAAGGGTATAGGGGTTTAGAGTTTAGGGTAATTAGTTATGGGTAGTTATAAGTAGGGTTATAAGTCCCCTAATGGGACTTATAACTATAGTTACTCTGCTTATAGGTCCACTTATAACTACCCATGCACCTCCAAGTAGCGAGAGGTTTACTTGAGCTTTCCTAGAGTCAGTGGGGGCTTCAGGGTCGTCGGCGTTTGGGGCTTAAGGGTTTCCCAGGCTTAGGGGCTAAGGATTTCGGGTTTAAGGCTAAGACAGTCTAGGAAGTTTGGGACATAGACAGTTGAGAGTTGAGGGGTTTAGATTTGCTTGGTTGTTTCCTCGGGTTTCCTGTGGGCTTCGATCGCTCATGTGCGCTTCATTAGGTTTTGTACGGGTTGATGAGGGCTTTCGGTTTAAGGGTCAGGGCTTCAGGGGTATTGTGGTAGGATTTCGTTTCTGGAATTCTTGGTGTTGGGGTTTGGGGTTTACATACTTGTGGGGGGGGTGGGGGCTGACTGGTGTTGCTAAGTGCTTGTGAGGGTTTTTTTTCTGAAGTATTTGTTTGGTCTCAGAAAGGGCTTGGTTCCCAAAGCAGTGTTGTCACTGTCTGGCTATTGCGTCAGGCTCAAAGAGGGAGTGGTGGGGGCGGAAACCCTATAGACCCGTATAAACCCGAACGCCATGCCTGTTGCGCAACCCCATGATTGGCCTTGGCTTTAGGGTTCAGGGTTCACGGTTTAGGGTTCGGGGTTTAGGGTTTCGGGTTTAGGAACCCCTATAACCTCTTGTTGCAAGTCGTCGTGACGCAGGGGTAAGTTGGGTTTTTTTTCTCCTTTCACGCCAGCCGAGGCTGAACGAGGAGTTTTGAGTCTGCCAGATGTGCAGACTGCAGTGGGGAAATCTGCAAGGAATCTGCCAAGCACCCTAAGAGCCCTGTTGCTGGGGGGTTTGCCTACAAATCTTTGCGGCGCCATTTAGGTGGGGGTTTGATCCAGTTTCGGGTTTGCCTTGTCGTGTTTAGCAGGTTAGCAGCAGATCTTGAACCCTAAACCGACCTTCCCAAAGTGAAATGTAGCTACAAAAATGGCACATTATGCCCCAAAACCATGCTGTAATTTTTGGTGAGGGTTCGTACGAAGTGCATCAGGTGATTCTAAGCGGTTCTAGGATCCAGAATGAGAGCCGCATATTGGAGCAGTCTAGTGTCTTGCCACACGGTACGACGCACCATGACCCACTGCTGATCGCTTGTAAAGCCTAGCCTTCTTGAAGTCTGAAGCCCAAGGCTGACATAACGCCCTATATGAACCCTAAATCTCTAAAACCTAAATCCTAAATTAATGCCCTGAAACCCTAGGCCGCAAAGTTTGAACTCCTAAACCAGGGTCGGTGCTGGTGACTCTTTGCATGTCGGAACAGACGGCCGCGGGGAATTTTGCCAATCACCTGGAAAGGTTGGATTGGCAGCCCAGGAAGTAGATGCTCTGCTGACTCTACTGGGGTTTATGTATGCTTTACACAAGGTCTAGTTGCATTTAAATATAATATTGGGTGGCTCCAGCTGAAATCATGATCGCCCTTCTTCTGAGAGTTTCGAGCACGTCGTTCTGCCGCGGGGCCAAGGTCTGGGTGGCACTTGCACATCCTGCGGCAGGCAGTGTCTCATGGCGTGTCTCGAAAAGGTCCGCCTGCAGATGCGTGAGCATGGATCCATCGTCCGAGCTCAACCCTAAACCCCCCAAACCCCCAAACCCCCAAACCCCCAAACCCCAAACCCCAAACCCTAAACCCTAAACCTTAAACCCTAAACCCTAAACCCTAAACCCCCCAAACCCCCTAAACCCCCAAACTCTGAACCCTAAACCTTAAGCATCCTTAAGCCCTAAAACCCTAAATCAACAAGACCCCAAGTCGCCCTAATTCAAATCATGCCAGGGCTGTAGGGGATGAAGCCAAGTATCGGACCTACGCGTCTGGGGCCGGGCCCGTCATTTTTGCTGCTTCTAGAGATGTTCAACTGCATATTGGGTATCTGTTCATAAAAATCATGGTGAATTACGGACTTCAGAATTTCTGAAATAAT